GTCTTCCTGCACGTCCTGGCCTTGGCGACCCTGATGATGGCCCACGCACACCTGGGTACTCACCTGGCACACCTGTGGATGAGAATGACCCCACTGAGGTGATTCCCAGTGATGATGATGCGATCCTTGTGGATCAAGATGCTGCAGCAAGTCCTCCAGTGCCAGAGCCTGATGAGCTTGAACCTGGACAAGAACCCTCTGTGCCACCGACACCAGCTTTAGCTGCTGCGTCGAGACCGGCTCTGACTTTGGACCCTGAAACGGCCGCTCTCTACGAGCCTGCCCCTGATGAGACCTTCAACCAGATGCGTCGACGATTTGACGCTCAGGAAAGCTCTCTCTTTGGTCCAATGAGGCGCAGACACAGACTTCCAGCGCCCGATGAAGAGCCACACCGAGCTCCTCGGAGTTCCCAACCACCACAACCTGCTGAACCTTCTCTACCTCAACAGCCTACTGAAGAACAAGCTCTCTTCAACCATGCCTTCACGGTCACCGACCTTGATGCCACGGAGCTTCCTCAGGGATGGCATGTTGATGAGCAAGGCTACATCCAGCTCGACCTCTCCAAAATGGAAGACTACTGGGAGGTGAAGTCAGGCTGTCTGATCAGGCATCACCTTCGACCTCGACGACTACTACATGAGTTTGCTCCTGGTCCTGACTGCCCTGTCACAGCTGACATGCTGGATCCAATCCGGGTGACGATGATGAGACTGCCCAACGGCACCACCAATGTCATGACTAACAACATCAACACCCGAGAAAAGCCTATGCCCACAACATGGACTGGCATCACAGTATACCAACTGACTGGCAAGGTTCGCAAAGAACATGCCATGATGGCTACTGCCATGCCTGCGAAAAAGGTGGCCAGACAGCACAAGCACATGACTGCCAAGAAGATCGGCAAGAAACCAGCCGAACTTTCAGAGCGCAACATGTTGCTTTGGGAAAAGGAGCAGTTCATGGCTGCGAAGGCAAAAGAGCTGAAGAGCTTCTTCGAGCACGGCGTGTGGGAGTTCTCAACTGAGAAAGAGGCCGACCCGACACGGACACTGTCATCAAGGATGCTCCTGAAATGGAGTCGCAATCCTGATGGGTCCCCTCGTGCCAAAGCCAGGCTGATAGTCCGTGGCTATGCTGACCGAGATGCCTTAGAAGGCCGGGTCGAGACTTCAGCACCCACTACGTCGAGGCTCAGCAGATCAATGTTCTTGAGTTTGTCAAGCTGTTTGAAATGGTCTGGATGGACAGCTGATGTGTCCACTGCCTTCTTGCAGGGTGTCCCACAACAGCGACGCCTTTGGGTCAAACTCCCAGCTGATGCTTTGGCAATTCTGGGCTGTGAACCTGATGTTCGCATGTTCCTCCACAAGCCGATCTATGGTCAGCTGGATGCGCCCAGAAGATGGTTTTTGGAGGCTTCACGCCGACTACTTGGTTTGGGTTTCAGAGTACACCCTCTTGACCCCTGCGCCTTCCTGCTCTATGAGCAAGACTTTCCTGAAGGTCGTGAACAACCTGCACCACCTCAAGAGCTACTTGGACCTCACGGACTTTGTGCTATGGTCTGCATCCATGTGGATGACATGCTGGGTGGTGGCTCTACGAGTTCAAAGGTGTATCAGGCCAAAGAGGCTGAGCTCAAGCAAGCCTTCAACTTCAGAGAATGGCAGACTGATGCCAAGCTGGAATACTGTGGAGCTTCTTTGGAAAAGACTCCAACTGGTGGCTGGGCTCTTCACCACGACCCCTTCCTGAAGAAGGTCAAGCCGATCCCTGTGGCACGTGGACGCAGTCCTGATGATGTGATGACTCCTAGTGAGACATCTCAACTACGAGCTCTACTTGGCTCACTGCAATGGCCAGCAGTACAAAGCCAACCACACCTGCAGTGCTCTACGTCCTTGCTTGCCAGCAACATCAGTGCTGGACTGGTTCAAAGCCTTCAAGAAGCAAACAAGCTGCTGAAGTTCGCCAAGAACAACAGCGATGTGAAGCTTTGCTATGAACCTCTGGGTGCTGTGGACTCATTGCGCTTGGTTTGCCAGTTCGATGCTGCCTTCGGCATACGCCGAGACTACTCCTCACAAGGAGGCTGGATCACAATGCTGATCAACCAAAAGGCCTTTGATGGACAAGAGTGTCCATACCACGTCATCGACTGGAAAAGCTCGAAGCTGCCTCGGGTGACACGATCTTCCCTTGGCGCCGAAGCTCAAGCCGCTGGCCAAGCTGAGGATAGCGTGGATTTTATATGTCGCTTCTGGGAGTGCCTCAAAGACCCCGACGCGACCTTGGCCGAGATCCTGGAGAGACCTTCATCTCTCGCACCTGTTTTGGTGACTGACGCCAAAGCCCTTTACGACAGCTTCCGCAGAGATGGCTTTGGGACTGGTCTGACTGACCGTCGAACCGCTTTGGAGGTCAAGGTGATCAAAGAAGGATTACAATCCTTGGGTGGTTCTCTACGGTGGCATAGCTCTGAACGGCAGTTTGCCGATGGGCTCACAAAAGAGTCAACACGACAGCTCTTAGCTGATCGACTTCGGCATCACCGCCTGAAGTTCACCTGGGACCCCACCTATCAAGCCTCAAAGCGGAAGGATCTCCAAACACGCCTGCAGAGCCAGAACGAGTTCAGCAAGCCAAAAGAAGATGCTGATGAACATCAGCCTGACCAAGATGACGAAGTTCCTGGCCATGCGACTCACTACATGGAGTCCTATGTCTACATGGCTGACCCTGTGGACTATGTCATGGCCAACGAGGAGACCAACGACTATGAGCACACTGAGCTCTCCATCATGCAAGAGCCTGAGGTCATTGCCGACCTGACGAACGTCAACACGGCGACCGGGGACTTTGCCACCAGTGCAAGTCGCTCTATGTCTTGGTGGATGAGTTGGTTGACGGCATTTTGCTGTCTGGTCTCCGGGAAAGCGACAGAAGTGCTTCCCTCAAATTTTGAGGATTTCGCTGTGGCACAATGCCCACTGCAGATCTATGAGCCGAAGACCGAAGGTCTTGGATCTGGTTCCTATGTCCTTGACTTCCTCTACGACTCCTCCTATGACATCTTCCTCCTGATCCTCTTCCTCACCATTGTCTTCATTGCCTATAAGGCTGCATTGATCTTTGGATGGCATCAGGGCTACCGCTTTGTTTTGCGGCGGCGAGCTGTCAGAGCTGAGCGCTTTGAGCGATTGCTGGAGGAGAAGACGGAAGAACTCAATTCAAGGAATGAAGCCTTGGAAGAGATGGCACAGCAGCTGAGCCGGAAACATACAGAGATTGCCAATCTCAACCAACATGTCCAAGATCTACGAGGTCATCTCGCCAATGCCCAACCAGAGCTTCTGCATGCCCTGCAGCAGGAGCGAGCCAAAACAGCCAGACTGCAACTGAACGTACAGGCTTTGGAGCAAAGCTACTTCCAGAAGAACGAGCAGGCGGTGACGTTTGAGCGACACATCAGGTCTCTCGAAAACTCAATTTCTGAGTATGAGAGGTTACGCACCAGTGGCATGCGTGTGATGAACCGGGCCCACAATGAGCTCGAACACCACTACAACAGGTACCACCGCAACGGTGAGATCTGTGTGGCGAACAGAGGGACGGTGTGGCACACCGATGGAGGATGCTACCACCTCCACAACTCCTTTGTTCGAGAGCTGTGGCCTTGTCAAGCCTGTGCTCAGGATGTGATGACGCCCCACATCCGGAACGAGAACGGCGTGACGTTGCACAACGCCATGACTGGATGGCTGGTGTCTGCTCAGTTCTTCGACACCTCCAATGCGGACTACCCGATGTTTCCTGTAGTTCCTGGAGCAGCTCCTTCTGGTGCCGCATCTTCTACTGCAGCTGATGTCTCTATGACAACTGGCTGATCTGGGTCCTGTGCAGGCCCCTCTGGCATTGCTAAGCCCTGGGCAGGCTTCTCGCTTTTGGCGCTGGCGACGATGGCCAAGACGGCCCTAGACTTTTCTCTTTTTTTACAGTTTCACCAAGATACCCCCATGTCAAGTGCACTCCATGCACCATGGGTCACAACATAGTAATTCATGGCCCTGCCGTGGCTATTTACCCTTAAGGGAGGGAATTCACGCGCTGGATGGCGCTACGGTGACGCAACCTCCTCGTGAAAGGTTGCTGCAGCTGACGCTGCTTGGTGGGACCGGACTTCGTGGGCTGGCTACCCCCCGTTCTTCGCATAGGTTATCTATGGCTATCCCACGTTCAATGTTAGCCCCGATTCCCTTTGTGGCTTTATCCACTTGGGAATATCGGGATGCATCTGCAGTTGTGGCCCAGAGGTTATGCTTGGCGATCAACGCACGCGTAATCCAGAGACTTCAATCGGCCTTGGAGGCAGCTCAACAGGCGATAGGGATGTGAGGCCATGGTGTGATCGAACCAAGGGTCATAGTGACCCAAACATATGGTGGGTTACTTAGAGTCAGTAGAGAACTTTGTGCATTTCACACATTTTTATATGTTTACATAAGTTGTTGGTCATTTGCCTGCATTAAACATCCCGATTTGGAGGTCCAGTATGGCGCACGCATTTCGAGCCACGACGATTGCTTTGGAACCTGTTCGCTGATTTCCATTGGTCAGTTTTGCTGCAAATTTTGGGCGGTTTCGCGCGGATTTCCCAGCAAAGAACGTCAAAAGTCAAAAGGCTTACATTTGCCATCACCTGAGTTGAAAAACGAATCTAGATTTGCGAGGTCCGAAGTTTTGGGATGTTTTGGATAGCTAAATAATCCCAAACACAATTGGAAATTGTATCGTTCAGTGGCTTTGGTTTCACCAAAACACGGTGCTCGGAGGTGAGTTTGCCCGCTGAGCACCTCCAGGTGCAGCATCGTAGAGTTTTCAGAAATCTTCAAGCGATTTGGGCTTTGGGTGTACCATTACTAGATGGCGGTTTCGACCTCAATCATCAGGGGAGCTCTTCGAATCCAGCCTGCCGGTTTGTTTCAATCCAGGAGGCGGAGACCATTCTGCAGGAATTGCAAGATCAGGCCTGGCCTAGTCTGGTTTTGTACTCTTGGTGGCTCACCCCAGGAATCGTAAAAGTGAGTTATGCATGCTTATGCTATGACCCTCAGTTATAAGTAGTATCTCACTTAGGATTCCTGTGATGATATGAGCCATCAAGCTGAGCATTTGACATGGTTTGTTGATGTTTCAACCATTCCCCAGCCCAGATACTATGGGATTCTCCAAAAATGTTGAAAACCCACTTATTGCCACATTTCATCTGGGAAATGAATGGGCATGATTCATCAATCATTTATTATCTCAAGGGATTTAAGCATATTTAAGCGCTTTGTCCACATAATTCTCAGACTTTGAACCCTATATGGACCTGCTGGGAACCTCTCGAAATATAGCCAACAACAGGAGCACATGTTCGCATCGCGCCAGGAGCGTCGGCGAAATGCCGTGCTGGAGAGACTGCAGGAGGTCAGGATCCCACAAGATTGTAATACGTTGCCAAAACAGTGGGGAGGTTACTGACAGGTTTGCCAAAAAAATGGTAATTGCCCCAAAACAGTGGATGGTGCTAAAAGATTGGTGGTTATATTATATTTGTATATATTGTATATAGATGCATATAAAATGGTTTCTTTGTATATGATTCATATAAGTATATATATATGTATATACATATATATATATATACATATATATATAAACATACATATACATATATATATATACATATATACACATATATATATGTATATACATATATATACATATATATATATATACATAAATATATGGTCATCTATATTACTCTTTGCAGAGAGAGCCTCTCCACTACTTTGGGCTCGGACCTGTCGTCAGAGCTGCACAGACTAAGACAGCTATCAGGGGTCACTTTCGTGCCACCGACCACGGACAATGTACCCGGCAGGCAGACAATGTATACAACGCAAGTCAACCCAGTGTGCTGGGAAGTATCGCCAGTCACCGAACCAACAAAATAAACATGGAGGCAGCGCTTGTGTAAATCCACCTCAAGAATCACATGGCACTTGCGCATGCCGTGGCTGACAAAAAGGTAACCATTGGGCTCAAGCCGCTGTAGCCTTGTGGGAAATTCACGCTACGGGCGAACCACTGAAACACCCCGCACATATTGTCACACTTGGCAGTTGGCCACATGACCCTTTAGCTTTGCGACACCATCTGCCCTGTCTGCCGCAGTTTCTCTTGATGCTGGCTGCTAGCCACAAAGGACACATCCACAACTTGCCGTTCAAGGCTGCAAAGCGCCCAGGGGGAGCACCAAGCAAGCAACTACAAAATATGCTGAACGATGAGGGACAACTGCGGTAGTGCTAGTGCCCAGTTGTACGTGCAGATGGCGCTGAAGTGTCCATGTTTGCCAGAAGTTGCCGGCTGCCGGCGGTTTTCGACTCCCATGGAATCACATGGCAGGTCAAAGGCATGTCTGCAAGAGATCCATCTACACTTGACATCGCCAGCACAGAAAGCAAGCCGCGGCCAGTCAGTTCATTGCAAGTACAAATCCCAGCATCGAAGCGTGGAACAACGAATAAAGTCCAAGAAAAACAGAGTCCAGGAAAAGATCCACGAAGAGCCTCCATGGCGTTACGACAGAACTCCCGTTCCGCTGACACAGCCGTGCTACTGGTAAGACCCACGGCTAGTATATGTATATATCTCTAAACGTTGGGGAATATGACGCACTATACTACACATACTATATACTTGAATATATTCCCCAAAACAGTGTGGGATGGTTTGCGGAGCGGCCGAGGCAATGCAGCAGCGCGACTTGGCGCCACTGAAAGAGGCAGTGATGGAATGGGTAAATCCCAGTAGGATGGATGATTTGGGGTACCTCTGTTTAAGGAAACGTCCATATATATAAATCCAAAAAAACTGCAGCTTTGATATTATTGAATTGTCATGTTTTATATGTTTTAGATTATTTTGGGATATAGTGCCAACTTTGCAGAACTTCGAAGGTCAGTTTTGACCTATGGAAATGTTTGTACATTGTACATTTTTATGCATTATACTCAGTCATCACTGGGAGTTGTGGCCCTAAGTTCGGAACCATGGTGATAGGATGTGATAGGTGATAGATTGAGAGGTGAATTTCAAGATTTGTTGCTTCTCTGACCTGTATGGAGGTTTCCTAAAATAGGGGTACCCCCAAATCAGCAAATCGGATTTTCCATTTTGAACCATCCATTTTTGGGATACCTCCGTTTATGGAACCCTCATATGAATAATTCGTCAACTCCCCCAGAAAGGTCTTTGGGCCAGGTGCTTCAAGAAGCTCATGCTGAACTTTCTCTGGAGGAGTGGCCAGTTGCCGTATGAATGGAGGAAAAATGGTGATCCCCCATGGACCCATGGATTCCATATAAATAAATATATATATATATATATTGCTATCATCATAGTAGCGTTAACATAGCTTTTGGAGTTTCCAGATCAGAACTGACAAAACCTGGTGATCAGAGCATGGCTGGATTTGACTTCATTAACAAATACCATCAAAAGTGGTGATCGGAGCATGGCTGGACTTGATCCCGTCGAAGTATACATATCGAAATGAATTATCAGATTGTGATACGATTTTATGTTTTCAATTTGATTTTACCCCAACATCGTGATCATTTGATGTTTTCAATATGATTTAACCTCAACATTGTGATGCATTTGATCAAGCCGGATTAAATAATGATACGATTTGATGTCAAAAAAATATTTTGATGCCAAAAAAATATTTAGCATTTCATCAGTTGATGAAAGAACCCTGGGCTAAAACTTGCTATCCTTTCCAAAAAAAATCCAGGAAAAAAAACATAAAAACATCTAAAAAGTCAAAAAAAATACTCTCTAGGGAACAAACGTATCCACTTTTTTTGTGGAAAATATTTTTTTCTGGATACGTTAGCTGCTGTGAACATAGGCTATGATAAATGCCCTATACTTGAGACATGTTAGTTGAAAATCCAGAATGGACATGTTAGTGGAAAAGTTGTCCCCCCCTCTGGGGGTTCCCGGGAAACTGCCAGAAGACTACCGCCCCGGACGCCCCAGCATCTTTATTTCCAGACCCCAATAGGGCTCAAATCAAAGACCGCATTGATAACAAAACGGTGGAGAAAAAAGGGGTCCCAACTCCTTCCGGGAGAGCGCATCATAGATGATGCCCGTGGGTGGGCAGGAAGATTGGGGGTGCATTCCAAAAACCAGTTGCACTTACTAAGGGTTGGATGACTGGCCATGGAAAGCGTCCACCTAACGTGTCCGTGTTGTTCAGAGGATGTGGTTTTGAGATATGTGAGTGGTTATTGGCTGAATCTATCCCCCCAAAATAGCGAACATATCCCAGATCAGGGTCGAAATCCAAGGGCCCCAAATTGCAGGAACTGAGAAATGTTAGCTGTTTTTGGGTCAATGGTCCCAAAAAAAGTTGCAATGCATTCCCCAGGAAATCCAAGAAAACGCCGGTACAGAGTGGACATGTTAGTTGATACCTGAAATGGTAGCCCGAGACACGTATCCACTTTTTTGTGGAAAAAAGTTTTTTTGGATACGTTAGCTGCTGTGAACATAGGCTGAGATAAATGCCCCACACTTGAGACATGTTAGTTGAAAATCCAGAATGGACATGTTAGTGGAAAAGTTGTTCCCCCCTCTGGGGGTTCCCGGGAAACTGCCAGAAGACTACCGCCCCGGACGCCCCAGCATCTTTATTTCCAGACCCCAATAGGGCTCAAATCAAAGACTGCATTGAGAACAAAACGGTGGAGAAAAAAGGGGTCCCAACTCCTTCCGGAAGAGCGCATCATAGATGATGCCCGTGGGTGGGCAGGAAGATTGGGGGTGCATTCCAAAAACCATTTGCATTTACTAAGGGTTGGATGACTGGCCATGGAAAGCGTCCACCTAACGTGTCCGTGTTGTTCAGAGGATGTGGTTTTGAAATATGTGAGTGGTTATTGGCTGAATCTATCCCCCCAAAATAGCGAACATATCCCAGATCAGGGTCGGAATCCAAGGGCCCCAATTGCAGGAACTGAGACATGTTAGCTGTTTTTGGGTCAATGGCCCCAAAAAGGTGCAATACATTCCCCAGGAAATCCAAGAAAACGCCGGTACAGAGTGGACATGTTAGTTGATACCTGAAACGGTAGCCCGAGACACGTATCCACTTTTTTGTGGAAAAAAGTTTTTTTGGATACGTTAGCTGCTGTGAACATAGGCTATGATAAATGCCCTATACTAGAGACATGTTAGTTGAAAATCCAGAATTGACATATTCGTGGAAAAATTGTCCCCCCCTCTGGGGGTTCCCGGGAATCTGCCAGAAGACTACCGCCCCGGACGCCCCAGCATCCTTATTTCCAGACCCCAATAGGGCTCAAATCAAAGACTGCATTGATAACAAAACGGTGGAGAAAAAAGTGGTCTCAACTCCTTCCGGAAGAGCGCATCATAGATGATGCTCGTGGGTGGGCAGGAAGATTGGGGGTGCATTCCAAAAACAAGTTGCATTTACTAAGGGTTGGATGACTAGCCATGGAAAGCGTCCACTTAACGTGTCCGTGTTGTTCAGGGGATGTGGTTTTGAGATATGTGAGTGGTTATTGGCTGAATCTATCCCCCCAAAATAGCGAACATATCCCAGATCAGGGTCGAAATCCAAGGGCCCCAATTGCAGGAACTGAGACATGTTAGCTGTTTTTTGGGTCAATGGTCCCCAAAAAAGTTACAATGCATTCCCCAGGAAATCCAGGAAAACGCTGGTACAGAGTGGACATGTTAGTTGATACCTGAAACGGTAGCCCGAGACACGTATCCACTTTTTTTTGGTGTTTTTTTTGGATACGTTAGCTGCTGTGAACATAGGCTGAGATAAATGCCCCACACTTGAGACATGTTAGTTGAAAGTCCAGAATGGACATGTTAGTGGAAAAGTTGTCACCCCCTCTGGGGGTTCCCGGGAAACTGCCAGAAGACTACCGCCCCGGACGCCCCAGCATCTTTATTTCCAGACCCCAATAGGGCTCAAATCAAAGACTGCATTGATATCAAAACGGTGGAGAAAAAAGGGGTCCCAACTCCTTCCGGAAGAGCGCATCATAGATGATGCTCGGAGGTGGGCAGGAAGATTGGGGGTGCATTCCAAAAACAAGTTGCATTTACTATACTCTCGTGAAATCTTACCTGTTGAAAGTTTTTTTTTTTGCTATGTTAGTGTTTGGGTTTTGGGGCTGAGATTCAACTAACTTGGCGTTGGGAACGCATGGTGTGACATGGGCATTTTGGTGCTAACTTGGCGCGTGTGAAGCATCAAGTAGGTTCAATCGGGAACTGCTTTGTTAGCGTTCGTTTGTGCGCGCGTTCATCAGCCTTTCCACCAATATATGGTTCCAAAAACATTTAATCGTACTTCATAGTAGCAAGTAGCGAGATTGGCAACATCGACCAGGAGTTTTTTCATTAATTATTCAATCTATTATAAAAACTTGTTGATTTTGAAGCTTTTTTGGGTCCAGTAAGGGTGATGATTATGATGTACTATTGGAGGTTTTGGGAACCCTGCGCAAATGCTATGTTAGTAGTCCTGTTGCCAAAGCTTTGGTTTTGGATTGAAAATCATGACTGGCACAAGTGTTTTTGGATGTCTTCCTGAGGCTCACCCTTACTGGGCCCAAAAAAGCTTCAAAATCAACAATTTTTTATAATCGATTGAATAAGGAAAAAAACTCCTGGTCAAAGTTGCCAATCTGGCTACTTGCTGCCATGATGATTACGATGTACTATTGGAAGTTTGGGAACCCTGCACAAATGCTATGTTAGTAGTCGCCTTGGGCTCACAACCTTTCCGCCAACGCGCGCGCGCGCGTTAGCGGAAAACAACTCGGCCAGGCCCGAGGACTACTCCTTCCCCGTTGTGTCTTCCCCGTTTTGGGGTCGAAGTCCTCGGGCCTGGCCGAGTTGTTTTCCGCTAACGCGCGCGCGCGCGTTGGCGGAAAGGTTGTGAGCCCAAGGCGACTACTAACATAGCATTCGCGCAGGGTTCCCAAAACCTCCAATAGTACATCATAATCATCATGGCAGCAAGTAGCCAGATTGGCAACTTTGACCAGGAGTTTTTTTCCTTATTCAATCGATTATATAAAATTGTTGATTTTGAAGCTTTTTTGGGCCCAGTAAGGGTGAGCCCCAGGAAGACATCCAAAAACAGTTGTGGTTTGATCTGGTCGGCTGGAGACTCAAAAGAGACACCTAACCTAGCAACCAGGGGTACTTTCATTCTAGATTGATTGATTGATGTGTTCGGCTTCCTGTTTTCTAAAACATGTTTTCCGTGGAGTTTGATGCTAACATAGCACTTTCCATTTGGTGGTTCCAAGCTGTGACAAGTCTCCAGACAGCTATGTTAGCTTATTCTGGTACATTTCTTTTACCCACTTCCTGGGGAATGCCAAACATTGGGAGGACGGAAACAGAGGCTATGTTAGCAGGGGTTGGCAGAAATCACCCAAATGATCACTTTCTCCAAATCCCCAGGGTTGACAACGTAGCCAGATGCTATGTTTGTGAGTTGGTGCCAGGGCTAAAAAAACGCTATGTTAGCTTTCACCGGTGTAAGGGTTAGATGACTGGCCATGGAAAGCGTCCACTTAACGTGTCCGTGTTGTTCAGAGGATGTGATTTTGAGATATGTGAGTGGTTATTGGCTGATCTATCCCCCAAAAATAGCTAACATATCCCAGATCAGGGTCGAAATCCAAGGGCCCCAAATGCAACTGTTTTTTGGAACCCCACATTGAAAAGGCCAATATTCAGTAGCTTGAGATATTGGAATCTCTTCGGGGAATGATTGCACTTACAAGACCCAATTTTTGTCAAAACACTGTTGTTTTCCCTGAACCCCAAAGTCATGGCCAGCATCCGAGATGAAGTGGCACAGGTGCTGCTCATTTGTTGTTCATTGTTTCCGAATTCCAACTTGCTAACATGTCCCAGTTTGGTACGAAAGAGCACGCACTGCACTTCCAATCCTTATTTCCAGACCGCTTTGATAGCAAAACGAGCAGAAAAAAGATTCCCAACTCCTCGGAAGAGCGCGTCATATATGAAGATTGGGGGTGTGTTCCAGAAACCAGTTGCATTTACTAAGGGTTACTGGCCATGGAAAACGTCCACCTAACGTGTCCGTGTTGTTCAGAGGATGTGATTTTGAGATATGTGAGTGGTTATTGGCTGAATCTATCCCCCAAAAATAGCGAACATATCCCAGATCAGGGTCGAAATCCAAGGGCCCCAATTGCAGGAACTGAGACATGTTAGCTGTTTTTGGGTCAATGTGTAAAAAGAAAGTTGCAATGCATTCCCCAGGAAAACGCCGGTATAGAGTGGACATGTTAGTTGATACCTGAAACGGTAGCCTGAGACACGTTTGTTCCCGGGAGTGTATTCAAAAATCCAAATGATAAAAAACAAACTGGAAAAACTGCAAAAAAAACGTTAGAAAACACGAGAAAAAGAAAGCGGGAGTGAAGCGGGAGCGAAGCGGGAGCAAAGCGGGAGCGAAGCGGCAGGCGAGAAAACCATGGAAAACCGTGAAAAAACGTTGAAATCATCGAATCCGCTTCGTTCCCGGGAGTCTTAACGCTACCATGATCATTTCAATGTCTAGGTGCCAAGGGTTGTTGCCACGGAAAAATCACCAGAAAACACGCGTCGTGTATCAAGGTCAATTTACGCACCAAAAAATTCACCAAGTTGTTGCCACCAAAAAATCACCATGAAACCCTAGGAGTGTTAACGCTACCATGATCATTCCAATATATAAATATTGTAAAATATTTAGATGTAGAACCAAAAGTATGATATCTGGATTTGTCTGAGAATGGGGTTTGCTCCACTGGAGTAACTCTATTTATTGGAAGAATGCGATTTTCAAAGCTATTGGACTTTGGGGTACCCTCATTCCAGACAAACCCATATGTTTGGTACATTGTACCTTGGGCATCAGCATGTTCAGTGCTCTGCGGAGATAGGGTGATGAACCGACAAATGGACATTCCCCAAACTTGAAAAGTTCTTGTAGGGAACAGAAGGTAAAATACCACACTATGTTTGTTCTATTGAGATAAAACTACCACTATATATATAATATATATATACAATATATATATATATATGGTATACATGGTTTAAAACCCATATGCCCGTCATATAAGTTGTTCCTTCCATGTATAGATGCATTTTTTTTACATGCATATATCTCTCTTTCTCTATCTATCTATCTATCTATCTCTCTCTATCTATCTCTCTTTCTATCTATCTATCTATCTTTCGATCTATCTATCTATCTTTCTATCTATCTATCTATCTATATATCTATCTATTTATCTATCTATCTATCTATCTCTCTTTCTATCTATCTATCTATCTATCGATCTATCTATCTATCTATCTATATATCTATCTATCTATCTATCTATCTATCTATATATCTATCTATTTATCTATTTATCTATCTACCTATCTATCTATCTATCAATCTATCTATCTATCTCTCTATCTATCTCTCTTTCTATCTATCTATCTATCTATCGATCTATCTATCTATCTATCTATCTCTCTTTCTATCTATCTATCTATCGATCGATCTATCTATCTATCTATCTCTCTTTCTATCTATCTATCTATCTTTCGATCTATCTATCTATCTTTCTATCTATCTATCTATCTATATATCTATCTATTTATCTATCTATCTATCTACCTATCTATCTATCTATCTATCCATCTATCTATCTGTTTATCTACGTATATTTAATATGTGTATCTATATACATATTATGTTATAATAAAATTCGAATTGCTACCAGTAGGGTTCTTCAGCAGTTGCGCAGTGCTTGGGCTTGCACCAGGAACTCGAGATGCTCGCTGCGCAACAGCTGCTTGAGGAACTGGAAAAGGCGTCGTTGTTTCGGGGTGAAGGCTGCTGGCCTTTAAAAAGGGAAGCCTTTAGAGGACCCACGTCTGAACTATGGCTATGTTTTGGATGATTTTTGGGGTGTATATACATATATATATATAATATTATTTACATATGTATATATATATAGGCTCAAGGCTGGGGGTTCCCCGGAGCTTCGAGGAACCCTCAGTCTTGATGCTATACCATAAAGGTCGTTCTTGTATAGAGATGGGGGGTGGGGGGGTGGGGGTGGGGGGGTGTGTAATAACTTCATGTGAAGTGCGTTGGATGATGTTGAATCCTGGAAGATGTTGCTTGGTTGGAAGATGGTGTTACGTTGAAAGTTTCGTTGTTGTTTACAGAAGGGGGGTGAGGGGTGTGTAATAACGTCATGTGAAGTGCGTTGGGTGATGTTGAATCCTGGAAGATGTTGCTTGGTTGGAAGATGGTGTTGCGTTGAAAGTTTCGTTGTTGTTTACAGAAGGGGGGTGGGGGGGTGTAATAACGTCATGTGAAAAACATAAAACACTGTAAAACACAGTGTGAAAACAACATTTTCCATCGCCATCAAAAAAAAACTTCATGGACGCGAAGATAAAAAGGATGTGATGTTCATTTCGTCCATGGTTCTCCAGTGAATTATCACATGTTCTACTTATCAACAGAACAACCAAAAATGCATGAAACCGCACTTCAAATGGTTAGCATGTTCCACACATCTTTAGTCATCCATGGGAGATGTAAAATTTTCCTGTTTCAGCACGGACAAACGTCAAGTTCTTCCGCGATGAAAATGGAAGTTCGATTGATCAAACCATTTCAGAGAAAAACATAAAACACTGTAAAACACTGTAAAAACAACATTCTCCATCGCCATGCCAAAAAAAAGGTTTGGGAAAGCGAAGATGAAAAAGATGTGATGTTCATTTCGTCCATGGTTCTCCAGTGGATTATGACATTTTGTACATATCAACAAAAACTGAAAAAATGTACGAACCCGCAATTCCAATGGGAAAAATGTTGAACGCATTTTTGGCCATCCATGGAAGATGTAAATTTATCATTTTTCTGCGCGGACAAACTCCGAGTTTACCCGCGCCGACATTGATACTTTCACTGATGGAACACTTTCAAGGGAAGGCAAAAAACACTGTAAAACACAGTATAAAATCAACATTTTCCATATCCATACAATTAAATTGCAATTGACTTCCGGGGAACCCCCAGCTTCCGCCCTATATATATATGTGCGTTCTGCTCATTCATGTCATTTATGTATACTTTCCAGTAGTTTTGACAAAGCTATGGAAACGATGACCCATTTGGTTTGATGATCTACCTAATAAGAAAATAAGAAATTGTGATTTTCCATAACTATGTTAGATTATCAGAGAGTATGTGCAAGGTGGCCCCCCCAATTAAAGGTTGGTTGATAAACACTATCAATTATATACAATTCTATCCCCCATAAACCATGGTTTAACAAATTAAAAATCTGCTTAACTATTATTGGGCCTCACCTTGTAGTGATTGTGGTGTAGTTTTGGGGGATCCGCAGCCTCAGGGGATGCTGATTTTCCTATTGGGGAGTATTGGGGATACTCCAATTTCATGTTCTATTTGATTACCCTCTGGTAATTTATGGTAATTTAATATAGCCATGGAAAATGGCCCATTTATAGATGGTTTACCTATTAAACATGGTGATTTTCCATGGCTATGTTAAATAACCAGATGGTACTTATTACTTCAGCATCATTATAATTTTGTGGTGGGCATCAGTGGGCATCAGTGGGCATCTAGTGGGCTTTGATGAGGTTGAAAATGGTTGAAATGATTGCCCCATTCACATATTTAAACATCAATCTGGCTGGTGGTTTCCCTCCTTTAATAGGCAGAGTGATTCCAATTTGACCCATGGACGAACCAAAAATCTTACAGGCCCACCGGAGATCATTGGTTCCTTGATGCTCGATGTACCCAAAAAGACTGGCACAATTCCAAAAAATGGGGATTGGACACGATGTTTTTTCTACTTGGATGTGCCACACCCAGAGTCACACTGTCATAGTTTCTATAACCCAAGTATGTGCCGGGGTCAAGTTACATGCTTGATTTTGCCACAAAAGAGGATGGCCATGATTGACTAATATAGGGGGTTGATACCTTTGATCTTTGGATTGCGATGACGGGATGACCATACCACATATAGACCATGTAACCTGACCATGAACCCGCAGGAAGCCAAGAAAAAGGTGGAAACTGCGTTACGGCGGAGATCGGCTGAAGCCATCTATGTCGCTCGGTTTTTTTATTTAGGCATACCTTCCTATTTTTTCAGACAAACCCACATGCTAAAATTGCGCTGTTGGTGGAAGTTACACACGAAAACATGACTGTCCCATCTTTAGTTGGATGATTAACCTGAGTTGATTTTTTTTGCATTGATTGGAACCAGCCAGAAGAGGTTGCACTGGACAAGTTGATTGTGCCAGTGGAGCGATTGTTGAAACCAGGAATCAAGCTGAATCTAGTCGACTCTAATTGGCTTGAAGTGTTCTGCCCAGTTCTTGGGGTTCTAGAACAGAATGAACTAGGCAAGACTGACAAATCCAAGAGAAACTCGAAGGACCTCCAAGAGGAACTATGCACCATCTTGAGGATGGCACATCCGCAGGGTTTGTTCCAACGAATGAACATATTATAGTTTCCATTGAAATGACAATTTATTTTATGGGTACCCTCGGTAATTGCACGTGGCAATGGGAAATCCCCGAACTAAATGGAGGTTTCTGGTGGAAGTTTCCATTGCCTCGTTGCCAGGCGGCTGTGGAAGAGGGAGACTGGGACAAAATTCAGGTTGCCAGTGGCCCCAGTGGCTTAGATTTTTCGGTGTGCCTGGGAACAGTTAACATGAGTTAACCAAAGAAGCTGCTAAATGTTCTTTCTGTTCATGGATTTCAAATGGGATTCCACATCAATCGCGGTGTTGTAGTTATTAGATGTTTTTTCATGTGGCCCCGTGTCCGGGTCTGTCCCATTTGGGTCTGTTAACCAACCAACCAACCAACCAACTATAGATGTGGGCATGGGGTTTGTCGAATGATGGTTGGTTGACGATTGTAGGCGTTTTACTACCCAATAAGCTACGGATTCTCATAAGCAATGTATTGACTGACCCCTCAGAACAGGATGGCTCTTACTGGAAGTTACCAAACTTGTGTGTGTTTTCGGCTTCCATGTGTGGCTGTGGATCACTCAAACAAGAGACACCAACATATCCAGGTGGTCCTGAAAACGAGGCCAACAATTTGTGACTTTGAATCTGAATCTCTATCTCTACTGAATTATTTACAGTAGATGTATTTAGGGTAATTGAGCGTGGTGACTGCAGTATATATCTACAGTAGTTCGGATGGATTGGTTCACCAGACAAGTGCTCACTTCTCCTGAAGAAAATTTTACACGGTGTCACATGCTGCCACTTAGTCTTCGAGCTTGGTTCTCCCACATTAGACCATACTCCTTCAAACAAAAAGAAACATTGTTTACCAGCATTTTGCTGGGAATTTACTTTTCTATCTGTTTAGGGGTTGCAAGATACAAAAAAACAGTTTCTCTTATTCTGATATTGATATTAAAAAAAATATATATATATATATACATAATAATATTATTATACCAGGGGTACCAAACGGGTGCCGTAGTGGGACCCCTTAGCAAAAAAACACAGTGGGACCCCTTATTTTTTTAGGTGGTTTAGAGGTAGTTTGGAGGGTTCTTGACCATGCATCTCAATTTTTGATCGCTGAGGGCCCAGGTTCACCCGCAATGGCCACACTGCAGCCTGGCCACCGGCCCATGTAGGAATGATCGACCAAAGGCATGGGCATCAGGTACAACACCTTCAAAGCTATGGAATGGTTGGCACTGAATGGCCCAAGTTAAAACAGATAGGTAATAGAGTTACTAGAGGTGCAAGGTACCCCAACACAATGTTAAGTATCATTAGAAGGAAATTCCGTCGTTGGACATCTGCCATGCCGAAGCGCAAGAGTGGCAGCAAGGATTTCAATGATGAGGCGAAGAGCCTTGTCCAACAACATATTTGGAGGGTTTCATCGGGAAAAAAAACATCAACATTCATTTTTAAAAACCATGACTGTGAATAAGGATCATGGCAAAAGCGTTGATGGCCCGTATCGATGATAAATGTATTGAATGGATCCGACGATCTGGTGAGTTTTGGCCTGGCGGAGACATCCGCGTTAGTGCCAATCAGTGGCTGCGAGCAGCATTCCATGACAGCTCCCTCAAGAAAGTTCTACGTGAGAACTCTATGAGACAAGCCTTACACATTGTTGTCAACAAGAAAGGGCTTCGTCTTCAACTGAGTTGATACGAAATTGTTTACTTTTATTTCCTGGTGAGCACATGTTCCAACATCATCCCCTGCCAACAATAAGGTTTTGGAAAGTCTGCCAACAATAAGGTTATGGTATGGGACAATGCATTTTGGGGGATGACAACAGCTGGGCATAATCTTTTGGAAAATGATATTTTTACCGAGCAAAAAGGGTTCATCTCCATTTCAAACCATGAGCCTGCAAGCTCGTTGGGCAAGTTACGGTAAAATCCCAAACGTAATCTGGTAAATGTTTTGGGCTAGAAATCTGAGAAAATTCCAAATCTATCCAAATCCCAAAAAAGGCGCGTGTCAAACGTGTCAGTGGCGTGTCTCGGGTGGTTCCTTGGGGGTCCCACAGTGGGACCCCTTAGGCTAAGGGGTGCCGTAGTGGGACCCCTTAAAAAGTGTCGGGGGTGCCCACCAAGTTCAGGGGGCGTGTCATTTCGTGTCGTGAAATCTCATTTTTGGTGGTTTGGTCAAAAAAAACGATCGATCTATTCTGTGGCTCCAGCGGGTTTTTTCGGGAACAACCTAGTCGATCTAGTTCCAGCCATGCCGGATGGAAAAGAGTTTGAGGCTGGCTAACCCTATTGAGTAGGGAAAACTCTGGAAGTAGCATTTGTTTATATATATTATATATATATGGCTGACTATCCCTGATGTTTCATTTTCATGTGAGCATATGCACATGCTCCACTATTTATATCACAACGAACACTGATGTAATACTTGGCTGGGGGGCTATGTCGGCTACTTTACCTGGGCAGGTGAGCGCTGAGAAGATGAGGGCACTCAAAGCTCAAACTGTTCCGACAGAGGCTTTCAAAAAGTTTGAAAAGAAAAGAAAACAAGCACTTGAAGATATCGAGCAAAACAGAAAGGAAACAGCACCATGTGAGGTTAGACCATATCGTCTACGACTGTGCTCCAGAAGTTTCTCCACTGAAACTAAGCTGCTATACAGATGAGGACGCGATGGGAAAACTGAAGAAATTAGCGATGATTTCATATCCCAACCAGATGGGACGACAAGTTCTGTCACGCTACGCTGCATATACATGCGTGCGATGGCTTCGAAGACTCACAGAATAAGCTAGAGTATATACTCTAAATGTCAAAAGATGTCACTATGTATTTTTTTATGCTGTCATTTTGTGTACTGTGAGTTTTCGGCGACTGCATTTCCAACGACTCCCGTTGGCACCTTCTGAGCCTCTTTCCAAAATGTTGAGCTGGTCCAGCCGATGCCGCCGCAGCGCAGCCAGGTGTGAACTGGTGATTGATGGAATGGGGATTACCAAAGAATACCTACAAATATATCTTACTATATCCAGCACATATGTTTTTAACAGTTGGTATGACCTCGGGAATAAGGGTTCCCGTAGTGGGACCCCTTAAAGATATCAACCTCCAAAAACACAATGGGGCCCCTTTGGCGGTGCTGGTATATATATATATTATGTATATATAATTTCTCCGTACTATCTTCAATATATTACCCATGACCTGCTTGGTTTCACTTCATGTTTTTTGCTCCACGCCTGCCCCACTTCTGAGGCCTTGGATGTGGGGCTTGCAGCCGGTCTAGCAGAGGAGCTAAGATGGAACCTCACGTCGTGACCGAAGCCTGGAATATTGGTTTATAGATGCGGAGTCATCCCAAATGGCCTTATTTCAGGTTAGTGAAATACTACTCTTTACCCTGTGTCTTGTCAACCAGCTTGAGGGTGGGCGTGGCTTAGCCTGTGAAGTGCCACGTGTTTGAACCTTTGAAGCAAGTTCACCAATAGGTTTGGACAGTCGTCTCGTAAAAAATCAGCCACGGCAATCATAATTTTAGAGAAGCCAATGGTTCCAAAATGTTTGTGCGGATGACTTGGTGCTTTTGTTTAGCACCAATGTTTTTTTTCCCCCACGGTGACGGTCATCTCTAGATCTGTCCATCCAAAAACCTCAACTGCCAGGGATCGCAGTGGGCACTGGACAACGAGTGCCAGATGGCAGAATGCCACAAAGAATGCCAGATTCAAAATGTCAGAATATGGGTCTGATAGAATATCAGTTGCTGGGGATAATTTGAAGTTCCATACTTTTCCTATATATTTTCCTAGGGTTTCTATGGGGTTTCCACATCTATGTGTTAGTTTCCCCTAGGGTCTCCGCCGCATCTGGAAGTCGTGGGACCTGGGGCCTGATCGCCTGATCGGTGCAGGAAGGGGCTCCTGTGCGTGCTGCACAGGCAAAGCTAGAAAGCTTGCGGGAGGCAGGAAGTCATGGAAACATATTGAAGGGACACATACTTACCCTCTGGTAATTTAACATAGCTATTGAAAATCACCATTTATAGTGGATTTTCCCATTGAAAATGGTGATTTTCCATAGTTATGTTAGTTTACCAGAGGGTAATCAATATATGTTTCAATAATTTTCAATATGTGTTGCATATGTTTGTCCATTTTCTCCATTATCCCATGATCCACAATTATATACTATATGCCATATGTGCCATTGTCAAACGGTGGATTTCATGCCGATACTGGGCTGGGCAGTTTACTGTGGAAAACCACAATCTTTACTAGGTATATCGTTGAATTAAATGGGTCATTTTCCATAGCTATGTTGAATTACTGGAGGGGAATGGATAGGGATATAGAACCAACCACTTTTGTTACCAATTTGGGGAAGTCGGACAATGGGTTTATGGGTTAATGAGTGGAGAACAACGGGAGTATGATTCAGGGGTTCATGTGAGATAATTGTAATATCAATTGAAACCACACCAACATGAGGGGCATTTCTTGCGGATATTATTCACTGGATATATGTGTGCATATATATTATATACATATGATCGGATCTACAAAATATACACACATTTTTTGTTGGGTATAAACAATCCATCACCGGGATGCATTTGATAGGATATGATCAATGGTGCCATAAAACCATCAATGTTTTCCTCCAACATGAAGCAATAATACCAACAATCTTATGGGTGATAATTAATGCAATTGGGTATACCTATTTACACATATATATATATACACATCAGATTATCAACAACATTTTGTCCAGATTTGCGAAGAAGTGGTGGACTCACCCATATTTGTTTGCAATTCTCAAATGGAAACATTAGATTTCAAACCATGCACGTGCGATTGCCTTATGTTTGGCCAGGGACCTCAAATTTTGACCAAAACCCATATATTGCTCGTATGATTTCTGGTTCAAGTCCTTGTTTTGCTTGAGTAAGTCGCTTATTGGTAAGCCAGAAGTCCCTACTTTTGTTGATTAATTTTCATTTTACCCATATTCGTGGTTTTCCCCTTCTTGGTTGGTGAATTTTTTCGTTCTTCACCATACTCTGGCATTGCTTGGTAGCTCAGTGGGACATTTTTAGACCCAGTGGCCAACCAGCTATGCTTTGGCAGATCTCCGGTGTCCTCTGGTACACGTTGAAATCCATGGGATTCCTTGAGGGTGGATTTTCCAATTGTTTTTTGAGCCAGGCCCATGAGCAACAAGAAGCCCAATGGACCGTGGAAGAGACAGAGGTCAGCGAATGGTTCTGTGGGGCTGGAAGCGACTGGATCTTCTTTTGGGATCACATCATGGCATATGAATGACAATTATTGATATGATTAGTAAATATTGATAATATTTTTCTAGGGATTTAACATGTCATAACATTAATTTTTATAGCTGAATTTCATCACAACCACACCTCGTGACGTCAGCGAACTCATCTTCCAGCAACGGGATGATGCAATGATGGGTGCAGTGAGGCCCCAAGATGTTATAAGTTGCTTTGTAAGCCCCGTTAACTTGAGTTATATATATATAAATTTATATATATATATGTATATATATATGTATATATATATGTATACCGTATTTATTTTAAGCAATTTAGCTATCTAGGGGGGCCTGGAATTTGGAAGCTTGGAAACCTCAGAGACTTGATGTGGATTTGTTGCTAGATGGAGCCAGTGGGAGCCAAGGATATCCGACATCCTCATTGCCGAGCAGTGGATGATGGGCTTATACTATCCTTTTTTTTGAGCTGGAAAATAACCAATATCCATATTTAGTCCAATAGATCCCCATAAATATCATCTCAATATTGGTTAATATCCCCATCATATCCTTTTTTTGAGTGGATGATATTTTAATGGGGATTTCCCAGCGATTCGATGATCACAATCGCCAGGCGCGACTTGAAGCGCTGAAAGCGGCCGAGGGGAAGCTCCAAGGTCCACGGCATAAGAAGGAAAGGTCGGCGCCAGAAACTCAGGCGCTTAGAGAAAAAATGTGGTCATTTTGGGGTTATGACATTTTGCAATTCATAGATCTTAGAGTCTTAGAGATGTCATTTTTTTAAATCAAAATTTATGTTAATTCATTCTAGAAAAAAACAACATGACTCGGAACGAAAATAATGTAAGATGGAATAACGATCTAGAATGAACAGGTCAAATATACTATACCCAGGCCTGCAGGCTGGGCAATTTTTTTCTGCCAGCCCGAACTAAAGAAATGATGCCGCTTAAGTAATTTCTGCCATCTCAACCAAAAGCGTCCTTTTCAACTGTTCGGCGGGATCTTGCCGGGTCAGCTGCCGTTCTTGCATGTTTTGCGTTGATTCTCATATTCACATTATTCACACACCCTGGAGAACATGGGCAGACCCGTAGAATGTCAAAGTCTAAACATGCATTGAAAACAACCAAAATAATTTACGCCGTTTGGTTGAGAATTCAATCTGTCACTGGTAGCGGTAGAGGGTTTTCAAACTGGACGCATGAATTATATTTGAATATATTTAAATTATGTCAATTATGTGTTCTTGCGGCCAAACTCTCCGCCACGCCTCATCTAAAAAAATCTGTTTGAGGGGTGGCCCCTTCAAAAGTTATAATTTTCACCAAACATAAATAAATCTTGCTGCCTCGGTTGTTCTAGGTATGATAAGATACTCGACATATGGGTATGGATCAATACCTATTAATACCATTTTTAGGGAGATGAACATCCATTTACCAGCTACTTTGATGTTCACCAGGGGTACAAGGTTTTGACACACTGCCATATCTCAACATAGGTATATCTATGATGATACCATTCGCTGGTTTCTCCCAGAAAATAATACAGAATTCAGATGAATTCAGCCAGAAGAATAGTGGTCATATCCTGCTGAAGATGAGATCACAACCACTGCCTCGATTTCTTAAGGCTTTCGCTGAATCCACGTTGAAGACGGATTTGATTTGTGTTTTTCAATTTATTTGTTTCCATCGCCAAAGATATCACAGCACCAGTTGACTTTTCTATTCCTTCCCCTCCAGTACTTCACTTAGCTATACGAAAATCCAATGGAAGCCATGGCCCATCTAATCTGATGATATACCATGATATACACATTAAACATGGCGATCTGTTCTGCCTCGTTCCGGGCGCCTCGTTCTGATCTCCTCGTGGCTGAGGCTTGGCAAGGAGATCATGAAGCTTCGAAATGGCGAAAGCTACATCTCGGTGGAGCGCTCAGTTTTTTGGTCACCCCAGCAGGTCACCGAAAACCATGGGGGATAACCATGGGATGGTTTGTCGCTTGGATGAGGCATTTGCTTCGATTGAACTTAAGTTTATAAAGACAAAATACTAGACGACGGATGGCCCGAGAGCGTAGAGGAGGAGCAGGGTCTTCTCTTGTTAGTATGGAGACACCATCTTACAAAACAATATATTAAAGATGTGTTATAGGCAGTCGAGAAGAGGAGTATCAAGACAATATAGCACAAGTACAAGACAATAGTTTGCATCGCAAACACTTTTACACACAGAAGCTTTTACACACAGACGCTTTTACACACAAAAGTTTTTACACACAGAAGCTTTTACACACAGAAGCTTTACACACAGATACTTTTACACACAGAAGATTTTACACACAGAAGCTTTTACACGCAGAGGCTTTTACACACAGAAGATTGCACACACAGAAGCTTTTACACAGTCGCTTTTTATACACACGCTTTTACACACAGAAGTTTTTTTTACACAGACACCTTTACACACAGAAACTTTTACACACAGACGCTTTACACACAGACACTTTTACACACACACACGCTTTGACACACAGACACTTTTACACAACAAAAACTTTTACACACAGACGGCTTTACACACAGACGCTTTTACACACAGAGGCTTTTACACACAGAAGATTTTACACAACAGACTCTTTTACACACTGACGGTTTTACACACAGACGCTTTTACACACAGAGGTTTTTACACAGAAGATTTTTACACACAGAAGCTTTTACACACTGACGGTTTTACACACAGACGCTTTTACACATAGAGACTTTTACACACAGAATATTTTACACACAGAAGCTTTTACACACAGAGGCTTTTACACACAGAAGATTGCACACACAGAAGCTTTTACACAGACGCTTTTTACACACAGAAGATTGCACACACAGAAGCTTTTACACAGTCGCTTTTTATACACACGCTTTTACACACAGAAGTTTTTTTTACACAGACACCTTTACACACAGAAACTTTTACACACAGACGCTTTACACACAGACACTTTTACACACACACACGCTTTGACACACAGACACTTTTACACAACAAAAACTTTTACACACAGACGGCTTTACACACAGACGCTTTTACACACAGAGGCTTTTACACACAGAAGATTTTACACAACAGACTCTTTTACACACTGACGGTTTTACACACAGACGCTTTTACACACAGAGGTTTTTACACACAGAAGATTTTTACACACAGAAGCTTTTACACACTGACGGTTTTACACACAGACGCTTTTACACATAGAGACTTTTACACACAGAAGATTTTACACACAGAAGCTTTTACACACAGAGGCTTTTACACACAGAAGATTGCACACACAGAAGCTTTTACACAGACGCTTTTTACACAAACGCTTTTACACACAGAAGCTTTTACACACAGACACCTTTACACACAGAAACTTTTACACACAGACGCTTTGACGCACAGACACTTTGACACAGAGCACACAGAAGCTTTGTACACACAGAACAAGTCGCAATTTTATTTCAGTTTTTGGCGATCGACCATCATTTCGTGCAAAACGGTTGCAACGGGAACCCGGAAATTGCAATTTTACCTCAGTTTTTAGCTATTGACCTTCATTTCGTGTGAAAGGGTTGCTCCAGCACAAGTAAAATCGCACTTTTACCACAGTTTTTGACGATCGACCCGCATTTCGTGCGAAAGGGTTGCTCCGGCACAAGTAAAATCGCAATTTTACCTCAGTTTTTGACGATCGACCCTCATTTCGTGTGAAAGAGTTGCTCCAGCACAAGTAAAATCGCACTTTTACCACAGTTTTTGACGATCGACCCTCATTTCGTGCGAAACGGTTGCTCCGGCACAAGTAAAATCGCACTTTTACCACAGTTTTTGACGATCGACCCTCATTTCGTGCGAAAGGGTTGCGTTTCGTGCCGTCTCGTTGGCACTGCCCCTGCTCCCGCCTTCAAAAGAGAAATAGAAAAGAAGGAGAGGGCAAGAGGGCAAGAGGGCAAGATGTGAGATGAGAAGATGTGAAGATGGAGATGTGAGGATGAGAAGATGTGCAGAAGATGTGAGAAGATGTGAGAAGATGTGAGAAGATGTGAGAAGATGTGAGAAGATGTGAGTGGAGGTGTGAGAAGATGTGAGTGGAGGTGTGAGAAGATGTGAGAAGATGTGAGAAGATGTGAGAAGATGTGAGAAGATGTGAGAAGATGTGAGAAGATGTGAGAAGATGTGAAGATGAGAAGATGTGAGAAGATGTGAAGATGAGAAGATGTGAAGATGAGAAGATGTTTTACAGACCCCCACTATTGGAAGAACCCTGCGCTCAGACGCTCTCGGGAATTAGGAAGGTAATTAAATGAATGGAACAAGTTCTATACATGGAATATGTTTGTAATATTGAACTGTTTGTTTTTCATGGAAGGTAAAACCCCCATGTTGAAACACACTCTACCCTCATCCCTGCCGCGGAACCGCGCGGAACCTGCCACCAGGCTCGAAATTTCCCGAAGAACCCCGAGAAGGCCATGGTGTCGGGGGTTCACCTTGCAAGAACCATATCCCAATTTCACTATTTTATCATATATATATATTATATTATAATATTATTGTAAAATTATCTCAATTATATATCACTATATTATAGATATATTATATGATATTATTAGTATATTCGAAGGAAATTTAGAAGCTAAACTTCCGACAATATGGACAGTTGAAACGCAGAGCAGGGAAGAGGCAGAGAGAAGAGAAAAGATCAGAAGAAAGAAGAGGTAGATGCGCGAAAAGATAGGAAAGTCGCGATTCACTGTGTTTTTCCAATGATTTGTGGCTCCGGAGGGTCGAAAAGTAGGCTCGCTAAAGCGGCGGGTGCGGAGCCAGCTGGCCAGATGAGACATGAAAAAGTACACGCCGTTGTGGCGCGAAGCACATTTCCAAGTCAAAATGGACAAAGCACTAGAGGAGCGGACCACTTTTGGAAGTTGAGATGTCGAAAAAGTGCACGCCGTTGTGGCGCGAAGCACATTTTGAAGTCAAAATGTGCAAAGCACACCATGGTCGGACCACTTTTGGAAGTTCGGATGTCGAAAAAGTGCACGCCGTTGTGGCGCGAAGCAAATTTTGAAGTCAAAAGTGTTAAAAACTGACGGTCTCGGACCACTTTTGGAAGTTGAGATGTCGAAAAAGTGCACGCCGTTGTGGCGCGAAGCACATTTTGAAGTCAAAATGTGCAAAACACACCATGGTCGGACCACTTTTGGAAGTTCGGATGTCGAAAAAGTGCACGCCGTTGTGGCGCGAAGCACATTTTGAAGTCAAAAGTGTTAAAAACTGACGGTCTCGGACCACTTTTGGAGGTTCGGATGTCGAAAAAGTGTCGAAAAAGTGCACGCCGTTGTGGCGCGAAGCACATTTCGAAGTCAAAAGTGTAAAAAACTGAGGGTTTTGAGCCTTTTTTGACGTGAAGATGTCGAAAAAGTCGACACTGATTAACTTAACTAACTTCACTAACTTAACTACCTTAACTTCGACGACAACAGCAACAACAACAACAACAACAACACAGCCACAACAACCACAACTACAACAACTACAACTACAACAACTACACAACAACTACAACTACAACTAGAACTACAACTACAACAACTACAACAACAACAAAAACAACAGCAACTACAACTACAACAACTACAACTACAACAACTACAACTAGAACAACTACACAACAACTACAACTACAACTAGAACTACAACTACAACAACTACAAGAACAACAACAACAACAACAGCAACTACAACAACAACTACAACAACAACAACAAAAACAACAGCAACTACAACTACAACAACTACAACTACAACAACTACAACTAGAACAACTACACAACAACTACAGCTACAACTAGAACTACAACTACAACAACTACAAGAACAACAACAACAGCAACTACAACAACTATAACTACAACTACAACTACAACTATTTTTCCAAGTCAAAAGTGTAAAAAACTGGCGGTCTCGGACCACTTTTGGAAGTCGAGATGCCGAACAAGTGTACGCCGTTCCACTTGTGGAAGTCCAGATGTCGAAAAAGTGCACGCCGTTGTGGCGCGAAGCACATTCTGAAGTCAAACGTGTTAAAAACTGGCGGTCTCCGACCACGCTTGGAAGTTGAGATGTTGAAACAGTGCACGCCGTTGTGGCGGGAAGCACATTTCGAAGTCAAAAGGTCCAAAAGACTAGGGGTTCGGACCATTGTTGGAGGTTCAGATGTTGAAAAAGTGTACGCCGTTGTGGCGCGAAGCACACTTCGAAGTCACACTACATTACATTACAGTACATTACACTCCAGTACACTCCACGACACTAAATTACACTACCCCACGCTGCATTACACTGATAGATAGATAGATAGATAGAGAGAGATAGATAAATACATCGATAGATGCATAGATCGATACATGGAGAGATAGATAGATACATAGAGAGATAGATAGGTCGATAGATAGACAGATTGATCGATAATTTATGAAGTCTGATTGTTGTTTCGAAGTCCATGCTGGAGCAAGTTCGCATGCTGATGCGTTTTGTATCTGGCAAAACTCACGGGTTAGTACGGGTTGAGTACCGCATCCGTAAGTCATTGCATGCCGAAGCATTCGTTGCAGGCCATCGCTAGATCGAAAGATCGCTAGAAACGTCCATGTCCAGATAAACGCATGGATAGCTAGATAGATCGATGGATGGCTGGAAGAACAGAGAGACGGACAGATGCATGGATGAATCGATAGACACACAGAACGTGTTGTGAGAGCTAAACCGTCTTAAGTGAAGATGGACATTCTCATGACTAAAAACCAAGCATCTACACATCATTCATAGGATGAGAGTCATAGCATCACAATACCAACATATTGAACATATTGATGAATCCACCATGAAAGGACAACCGATATACTCTCATCCAATGGACATGTTCCTACCATAAGCGTCGATACAGGATTAGAAAGACAGCTAGCATGCAATGGTATAACCCACGGTTATGATGTACAGAAAAACATGAAGAAATTTAATGTTACCCATCCCTCCGACGTGTCTGCCTCGCGGTGTCGCGGCAGCTTGGTCCTAGCAACAGCGGACAGGAATCGTCGGCTGCCGCTGTGCTGGCGTGCGCCATCATGCCGTCAGAAGTACAGAAAAACATGAAGAAATGTTACCCGGCCCATCCCTCCAACGTGTCTGCCTCACGGTGTCGCGGCAGCTTGCTTTGTCCTAGCAACAGCAGACAAAAAGGCAGAAACACACAACCACCTTTCAATCCATCAGTGGGCTCGCTCTGCCATTTTTGCGCCACAGCAACACGCTTCTCCTATAGGTTTCCTATTTTTGAAACTTCCGCCACCGCCTTGTGCGGTACTACTGGTATTGTAAAATGGATCTCAATTTTTATTATTTCACTATTATATCATATTTATATATTATATCCACTTTCACTGTTATAATATAATATATATATATAGCTTACCAATTGCGGGATATCATTTGATAACACCCCTGCCCCCTAGTGGATACGCGTCAGGAGCGGCAGCGGCGTGAGGAGCAAAGGCGGACATGACGTGGCAACCTGGGCAGCCTGGGCGGCTGGTGACCTTCGAAGTTTTGCTGTATTTTTTAATGGTGATTTACCCTCTGGTTATTTAACATAGCCATGGAAAATGGCCCATTTATAGATGATTTTTCCATTCAAACCTCCATTTATTTTGGGGATTTTCCATGGCTATGTTAGTCATAACCAGATGGGACTGGTGATTTCATGAGATTTAAACTGGTGATTTCATGAGATATTCATGGGACTAAATGGGATATGATATACTTGATTTTGTGGGATGCAATTCGCCCAACTAACACAGACCCTTTGAATAGCCAAGTTAAGAGGAACCTCCTTTGTCCCTCGTGGCGCTGTTTGCACTGCCTCCTTCTATAGATCCTATAATACGTACTATAAGGTGATGAACTCAGGCAAAGAACATCTAGCTGCTAGCTGCTGCTCAATGGAGCAAAGTCCTTCGGAGTTGACTTGCAGACTTGTCATGATGATCCATCATGATCCATGGTCCATGATGTTTCAGAGGTGATGTGATGACACCTTTTGCGGCTCCGACACTTTCATAGCATTTCCGAGACACCCTTTGACATCACCTTCGGGGTGAACCGGTGGTGCAGAGGGCTGATTCCACAGCCAGTGAGGTATCGCATGGGTCTGATCATTGCTGAGAAGGAATGACTGCGTGATTTTGCAAGCTTGATGTTTTGAATTGTTTTGAACCTCCTTTGTCCCTCGTGGCGCTGTTTGCACTGTCTTCTTCTATAGATCCTAATACTCTGAGGTGATGAACTCAGGCAAAGAACATCTAGCTGCTAGTTGCTGCTTAATCTAGCAAAGTCCTTCGGAGTTGACTTGCAGACTTATCATGATGATCCATCATGATCCATGGCCCATGGTGTTTCAGAGGTGATGTGATGACACCTTTTGCGGCTCCGACACTTTCATAGCATTTCCGAGACACCCTTTGACATCACCTTCGGGGTGAACCGGTGGTGCAGAGGGCTGATTCCACAGCCAGTGAGGTATCGCATGGGTCTGATCATTGCTGAGAAGGAATGACTGCGAGATTTTGCAAGCTTGATGTTTTGAATTGTTTTGAACCTCCTTTGTCCCTCGTGGCGCTGTTTGCACTGTCTCCTTCTATAGATCCTATAATACGTACTATAAGGTGATGAACTCAGGCAAAGAACTATGCTAGCTGCTAGCTGCTGCTTAATGGAGCAAAGTCCTTCGGAGTTGACTTGCCGACTTGTCATGATGATCCATCATGATCCATGGTCCATGATGTTTCAGAGGTGGAATGTGATACACCTTTTGCGGTTCCGGCACTTTCATAGCATTTTCCGAGACAAAAAAAAAAACCCTTTGACATCCCCTCGGGGTGAACCGGTGGTGCCGAGGGCTTAATTCCACAGCCATGGAAGGTACGCTGGGTCCTGATCATTGCTGAAAGGAAAATGAACTGATGAACTGCGGTGAGTTTTGCAACTTGATGTTTTGATTGTTTTGAACCTCCTTTTTCCCTCGGGCGCTGTTTGCACTGTCTTCCTTCTATAGATCCTAAATCTCTGAAGGTGATGAAACTCCAAGGCAAAGAACATCTACTCTGCTAGCTGCGCTTAATCTAGCAAAGTCCTTCGAGTTGAACTTGCCGATTTTGGTCATTGATGATCCTCCTGATCCATGGTCCATGATTGTTTCGAGAGGGTGATTTCATGACAGCCTTTTGCTGGCTCCGACACTTTCATAGGCATTTCCGAGACAACAACCCTTTGAACACACCTCGGGGTGAAACCGGTGATGCAGAGGGCTGATTCCACAGCCAGTGAGGTATCGCATGGGTCTGATCATTGCTGAGAAGGAAAGACTGCGAGATTTTGCAAGCTTGATGTTTTGAATTGTTTTGAACCTCCTTTGTCCCTCGTGGCGCTGTTTGCTCTGTCTCCTTCTATAGATCCTATAATACGTACTATAAGGTGATGAACTCAGGCAAAGAATATCTAGCTGCTAGCTGCTAGCTGCTGCTCAATCGAGCAAAGTCCTTCGGAGTTGACTTGCCGATTTGTCATGATGATCCATCATGATCCATGGTCCATGATGTTTCAGAGGTGATGTGATGACACCTTTTGCGGCTCCGACACTTTCATAGCATTTCCGAGACACCCTTTGACATCACCTTCGGGGTGAACCGGTGGTGCAGAGGGCTGATTCCACAGCCAGTGAGGTATCGCATGGGTCTGATCATTTCTGAGAAGGAATGACTGCGAGATTTTGCAAGCTTGATGTTTTGAATTGTTTTGAACCTCCTTTGTCCCTCGTGGCGCTGTTTGCACTGTCTCCTTCTATAGATCCTATAATATGTACTATAAGGTGATGAACTCAGGCAAAGAACATCTAGCTGCTAGCTGCTGCTTAATTGAGCAAAGACCTTCGGAGTTGACTTGCCGATTTGTCATGATGATCCATCATGATCCATGGTCCATGATGTTTCAGAGGTGATGTGATGACACCTTTTGCGGCTCCGACACTTTCATAGCATTTCCGAGACACCCTTTGACATCACCTTCGGGGTGAACCGGTGGTGCAGAGGGCTGATTCCACAGCCAGTGAGGTATCGCATGGGTCTGATCATTGCTGAGAAGGAAAGACTGCGAGATTTTGCAAGCTTGATGTTTTGAATTGTTTTGAACCTCCTTTGTCCCTCGTGGCGCTGTTTGCACTGTCTCCTTCTATAGATCCTAATACTATAAGGTGATAAACTCAGGCAAAGAACATCTAGCTGCTAGCTGCTGCTCAATCTAGCAAAGTCCTTCGGAGTTGACTTGCCGACTTGTCATGATGATCCATCATGATCCATGGTCCATGATGTTTCAGAGGTGATGTGATGACACCTTTTGCGGCTCCGACGCTTTCATAGCATTTCCGAGACACCCTTTGACATCACCTTCGGGGTGAACCGGTGGTGCAGAGGGCTGATTCCACAGCCAGTGAGGTATCGCATGGGTCTGATCATTGCTGAGAAGGAAAGACTGCGAGATTTTGCAAGCTTGATGTTTTGAATTGTTTTGAACCTCCTTTGTCCCTCGTGGCGCTGTTTGCACTGTCTTCTTCTATAGATCCTAATACTCTGAGGTGATGAACTCAGGCAAAGAACATCTAGCTGCTAGTTGCTGCTTAATCTAGCAAAGTCCTTCGGAGTTGACTTGCAGACTTATCATGATGATCCATCATGATCCATGGCCCATGGTGTTTCAGAGGTGATGTGATGACACCTTTTGCGGCTCCGACACTTTCATAGCATTTCCGAGACACCCTTTGACATCACCTTCGGGGTGAACCGGTGGTGCAGAGGGCTGATTCCACAGCCAGTGAGGTATCGCATGGGTCTGATCATTGCTGAGAAGGAAAGACTGCGAGATTTTGCAAGCTTGATGTTTTGAATTGTTTTGAACCTCCTTTGTCCCTCGTGGCGCTGTTTGCTCTGTCTCCTTCTATAGATCCTATAATACGTACTATAAGGTGATGAACTCAGGCAAAGAATATCTAGCTGCTAGCTGCTAGCTGCTGCTCAATCGAGCAAAGTCCTTCGGAGTTGACTTGCCGATTTGTCATGATGATCCATCATGATCCATGGTCCATGATGTTTCAGAGGTGATGTGATGACACCTTTTGCGGCTCCGACACTTTCATAGCATTTCCGAGACACCCTTTGACATCACCTTCGGGGTGAACCGGTGGTGCAGAGGGCTGATTCCACAGCCAGTGAGGTATCGCATGGGTCTGATCATTGCTGAGAAGGAATGCGTGATTTTGCAAGCTTGATGTCACGAAAGCTAGCGTCAGCTAGCTGGAGTCTTCTTGCTTTAGCAAGTTTTCCGGGGGCTGCTCACGGACATCACGTGATTTTTCACGCGAAAGGGCCCCCCCGCAACCCCACCACCATCACCATCATCGTCATCATCGTCATCATCGTCATCACCGTCATCATCGTCATCATCGTCATCATCGTCATCATCGTCATCATCGCCATCATCGTCGTCAACGTCGTCATCGTCCTCGTCATCGGTTTTGTCATCGTCATGGTCATTGGCATCGTTCTCGTCATCGTGATCATCGTGATCATCATCATCATCATCGTCATCATCGTCATCATCATCATCATAATCATCATAATCATCATAATCATCATCATCATGATCATGATCATCATCATCATCATCATCTCCTCATCCTTATCATCCTCCTCATCCTTATCATCCTCCTCATCCTTATCATCCTCCTCATCATCATCCCGATCATCTGTCGCATCCGCTTCAGCATCAGCATCATCATCATCATCATCATCATCATCATCATCACCATGATCATCATCATCATCATCATCACCACCCTCATCATCATCGTCATCATCGGCATCAGGTTCGATCCCCCCCTGGTCCCCCCCGAGCCTTCCCGAGAGGAGATTTCCGGCTGGTAGAGGGTCAGCATTTTCACTTAGGGTTTGACGCGGCAACGCTACCGACATTTCCCCGCTGACACTGAAGCTACGTCTTCCCTTCCTTCTTTCTCCTAGCCCGCTAGCTTTCGTCATCCACCCCCGGCCTCAAGTTTTGAATTGTTTTGAACCTCCTTTGTCCCTGGTGGCGCTGTTTGCACTGTCTCCTTCTACAGATCCTAGTGCTATTATAATATAAGGTGATGAACTCAGGGTGCAGAGGGCTGATTCCACAGCCAGTGAGGTATCGCATGGGTCTGATCATTGCTGAGAAGGAAAGACTGCGTGATTTTGCAAGCTTGATGTTTTGAATTGTTTTGAACCTCCTTTGTCCCTCGTGGCGCTGTTTGCACTGTCTCCTTTTATAGATCCTAATACTATAGGGTGATGAACTCAGGCAAAGAACATCTAGCTGCTAGCTGGTGCTCAATCTAGCAAAGTCCTTCGGAGTTGACTTGCCGACTTGTCATGATGATCCATTATGATCCATGGTCCATGATGTTTCAGAGGTGATGTGATGACACCTTTTGCGGCTCCGACACTTTCATAGCATTTCCGAGACACCCTTTGACATCACCTTCGGGGTGAACCGGTGGTGCAGAGGGCTGATTCCACAGCCAGTGAGGTATCGCATGGGTCTGATCATTGCTGAGAAGGAATGACTGCGTGATTTTGCAAGCTTGATGTTTTGAATTGTTTTGAACCTGCTTTGTCCCTCGTGGCGCTGTTTGCACTGTCTCCTTCTATAGATCCTAATGCTATAGAGTGATGAACTCAGGCAAAGAATAACAAAGAATATCTAGCTGCTAGCTGCTAGCTGCTGCTCAATCGAGCAAAGTCCTTCGGAGTTGACTTGCCGACTTGTCATGATGATCCATCATGATCCATGGTCCACATGATGTTTCAGAGGTGATGTGATGACACCTTTTGCGGCTCCGACACTTTCATAGCATTTCCGAGACACCCTTTGACATCACCTTCGGGGTGAACCGGTGGTGCAGAGGGCTGATTCCACAGCCAGTGAGGTATCGCATGGGTCTGATCATTGCTGAGAAGGAATGACTGCGTGCTTTTGCAAACTTGATGTTTTGAATTGTTTTGAACCTCCTTTGTCCCTCGTGGCGCTGTTTGCACTGTCTCCTTTTATAGATCCTAATACTATAGGGTGATGAACTCAGGCAAAGAACATCTAGCTGCTAGCTGGTGCTCAATCTAGCAAAGTCCTTCGGAGTTGACTTGCCGACTTGTCATGATGATTCATCATGATCCATGGTCCATGATGTTTCAGAGGTGATGTGATGACACCTTTTGCGGCTCCGACACTTTCATAGCATTTCCGAGACACCCTTTGACATCACCTTCGGGGTGAACCGGTGGTGCAGAGGGCTGATTCCACAGCCAGTGAGGTATCGCATGGGTCTGATCATTGCTGAGAAGGAATGACTGCGTGATTTTGCAAGCTTGATGTTTTGAATTGTTTTGAACCTCCTTTGTCCCTCGTGGCGCTGTTTGCACTGTCTCCTTCTATAGATCCTATAATACGTACTATAAGGTGATGAACTCAGGCAAAGAATATCTAGCTGCTAGCTGCTAGCTGGTGCTCAATCTAGCAAAGTCCTTCGGAGTTGACTTGCCGACTCGTCATGATGATTCATCATGATCCATGGTCCATGATGTTTCAGAGGTGATGTGATGACACCTTTTGCGGCTCCGACACTTTCATAGCATTTCCGAGACACCCTTTGACATCACCTTCGGGGTGAACCGGTGGTGCAGAGGGCTGATTCCACAGCCAGTGAGGTATCGCATGGGTCTGATCATTGATGCATATTGATACTGTTTGCCAACTTTTTCGTATTAGATGGTTATGTTTCTCTAGTTGGGAATCGCGGTGATGTTGGCAAGTTTGGACTTCTTTTATCTTTCATATTGCACTTTTTGGCTTTGATGATTCGAGCTCCCTCTTCTGATGACCATTGAGGAATTCGCTCGTTCCGGAATCAAATATCTCTTGCTGAGCCATTCTTGACTATGATCGTTGCATGAGTTTCTGTGCTTACAGAAGCGAGGTGCAAGATAGTGTGAACATGTGTGATCAGGGGCATGCTTGGTCATCTTCCAGACTTAATGCTGAAATATGCTGACTATAATATTGGTAGACGCTGATGGGGCTTTAATGACTTGTCCATCCTGGCGGCGCTACTATATGCTACTATACTTGATTTGCTCGGTCTTTTTGCAACCTTGGACTCCTTTTATCTTTCATATTGCACTTTTTGGCTTTGATGATTCGAGCTCCCTCTTCTGATGACCATTGAGGAATTCGCTCGTTCCGGAATCAAATATCTCTTGCTGAGCCATTCTTGACTATGATCGTTGCATGAGTTTCTGTGCTTACAGAAGCGAGGTGCAAGATAGTGTGAACATGTGTGATCTGGGGCATGCGTGGTCATCTTCCGGACTCAGTGCTGAAATATGCTGACTATAATATTGGTAGACGCTGATGGGGCTTTAATGACTTGTCCATCCTGGCGGCGCTACTATACTTGATTTGCTCGGTCTTTTTGCAACGTTGGACTTCTTTTATCTTTCATATGCACTTTTTGGCTTTGATGATTCGAGCTCCCTCTTCTGATGACTATTGAGGAATTCGCTCGTTCCGGAATCAAATATCTCTTGCTGAGCCGCCTAGTGTGATTTTATGATGATTGAACACACCAGCTCTCAATGGTTTCTTGAATGTGTGCTTTGGGCTTTGATGTTTGACTATTTTTTCCGGCCTTGAATATGCTATGCTAGCCTTTGATTACCCAAGATTAGCCACTATAAAAGCATGTTTGTCCGATTTTTAAGTGTCAGCGAAGCCTTCTTGGTAAACGGAGTCAGCCATTCGAGGCTGTTCATATCCTTGTCCTGTTAAGCGATGTTTCCGTAACTGTAAACTTGGTTTGGCCTAATCCAACTTCCGAACTTTGCTGACCTTAAAGTGAATCGAAAAAGAGGGAGCCAAATACCTGACCCAGAAAATACTTCATTTCACTATATAATTATATATATATATTTGCTGATAAAACATGTAGTTTCAAATTCAGGCACAGCCAAGCACCCAGCAGTATTTGTGCGCTTCGCTACAAATTCAACTGGGATCCCAAGGTATCCCAAGATCATGACTGGCAAAGACCTCCGGTGTTGATTGGTGACTAGATTCTTCTTGACACGGCATCTCTCCAATAAATTTGCCTTCTGATATAACATAACATTACCTCCGCAAGTTCCACCTAAGCCTTGGTGTCGTTCCTGCCATGTCGTCAATTTCCGGTGATGAAAAAGTCATGCATCCACGAATCCACGCCATATGCTGTGCTGAAAGCATGGTTAAGGATGGTTAAGGGTGGTTAGGCTCCATGTCGCAATCAATGTTGCACTGTGAAAAACACCGGGCGGGGCGGAGATTGAGAAGCGACATGCAGAGGAAACGGAGCGCCGTAGGCACCGGCAGAGCTGTCAAACGTGAACATGACGTAGGTATACCTGCCAAAAAAGTGAAATGAAATCCTATGTTTATTTAACATAGCTTTGAAACATCAAGTTTTAATGGGAAAAAATATGGTACCCGTAAATCAATGTAAATCAGTGTAAATCAATGTAAATCATATGTAATCAATTCAATATTATAGTCACAATATATAAACGGGTTATTTTTCATAGCTATGTTGAATTACCAGAGTGTAACCAGCAATTTGTGATTTGATCATCGACTTTATGATAGCTAAGTTGGCGTATAACTGAACTGGCAGGGTTCACTGTGGTTTATGGACGGTAGATATATATATATATATAATATATATATATATTATATTATATATATAGGGGGTGGGAACCAGCCTGTGGGTCAAAATTGTCAAGCCTCCGGCCATGGATGATTTATGATGATTTAATGCAATGAAGAAATTGGTGCGTTTGTTAACATCAACATTGTTTCCAATCCGAATATTTTATCCCTCCGAATATTGCTGTGAAACGATCAGTTCTGGAAACTTCCACAGCCCCACACTTTGAGCAGGGTAAGAGCTGAGCAAGCTCCACAAGAGCTGGCGACAGCGATGGAGGATGGCGATGTGTTCTGCTGGACAGTCAGGAAGGACTTAATTACACTCTGGTAAACATACAAAAAACTATGGAACACCACCAAATTTTATGGGTAATCAACTGTAAACGGTCATTTTCAATAGCTATGTTAGTTTACCAGAGGGTACATGATAAGTGATTGAATATCACATTCAGACCATCAATATATTGGATAGTTGAACTGGTTGATGGTTTCAAATATGTTCTCCATCCAACAAATGGGATGGCGGTTCCCATTGACAACTTGTTTTTGCCGGGGGTGGCTCAACCACCAACAAGATATCACAAGTGATAAATGACGACGGTAGATATATTTATAATCACAAGTACTGTTAAATTAAATGTTCATTTGAATGATGAATTGTAGCTGTTTATAACTACGGCTTTAATGATGATAAATGCTGATGAATGGTGATATAAATGGCAATATCACAGGTCATTATTATATAAGGATTAATGATGTTTCTAACATGATAAATCATGATAACACGTAATAAAACATGATGATAGATTATGTTGGCTCATGGTTGATGATACTTTACATGATGAGCAATGATGATGAAACTGATGTATGTATACATGTTGATATTGTGTTTATAAATGAATGATAGATGAGGATTAAACTGAGTATGAGTCATGATTTCCAATGATACATATACATGATTATGTAAGTGATGTGTACATGCTTAAATGCTGTATACGTGATTATTCATGATCTATATGATGATGAAAGATAAACTAGGTGATGTACACATGATGATTCAACTGATGAAAATGATATAAATGATGCAGGCATGATGAATTACAATCAATGATGAATGATGATTTCAATGATGTACAATGTATAGATGATGCATTAAATACATTCAAGTAGTTATAACTGATGACTTCCATGATGTACACATGATGATTTAGATGACAATGAATGGGTAAAACATATTGCCATTAATGACACATTTTTTTCTGGATGATGTTTATATGATGATTTGACTGATGACTTAGATGATGACAACTGAGAGTGAGTGCGTAAATTGACACGAAGCACTAAGCGTCAGGATTGGAAATGATTCAGAATGAGAAATTGGACATTACATGTGTTGCATCGTTTTGCGAATGCCATTGATGGATCATAATGGATCTTATGAGGTTTCTTAAGGCGGGTAGCCTTAAAGTTGGACACTTTGATATCACCATTTGGGGATGACTAAAGTATCGAGTCTCCAGGCAGGTGACGACGATGCCATTCGCGCTCTACTGGTTGAGGTGGGCATAGCGGGCAGCATAGCTTGCCGACCTGGCGGTAGTACCGATTTGTAAAGTCTGCAAGTTGTTTTGATCATTTTAACCGATCATTTTAACCGATCATTTTCAGAGTGTCACCATCCAATTTTTGGGGGGGTTTTGAGCTTTCACCATCCAGGTTTCCTGAATTTGCCGGAGTTTTTCAGCGTTTCACCGTCCATTTTTTCAGAGCGCAGTCATTTTGAGCCGATCCTGTGTACACTTGACAAAGTCCAACAAGACCCGGTATAGGCGCCACCAAACCTACACTTGCAAGATCTTGGCTGATGAATGGTTGATGATAGTTTCTGGCAATAAAGATAACTAAACAAATCCCTTACTGTGACCCTCTAACATCATGTACAATCATGTGCAATCACTTAAACGTGGAAAAAAACAAAGCCCATCATCTGAAAAAAAACAACAATTATCACCCATAGGATCCATGTATGGTATATATGCTAACATTGGGGTTATATTGATGGTAAATGTTACCATATATATATATATAGCATACATGGATCCTATTGGTCATACATTATCCCAACTATCCGCAATTATCAAGTCTCCCGAGCCCATGACCTTCCCTTCGGAACGAGGCCTTGCTCTGCGCGGCCGACGCGCAGCTGGCCGAGAGCTTCTTGGCAGAGCCTCGGAGCCCAGAGCGCCCGATCGATCCCTGCTCTTCCACGGTGATGTCATGGGGATGTCGGCTATGTGCACTACATATCCTGGTTGGTGGTTTTGGAATATGGCTTTTAAGACTTCCCATGGGAATGTCATCATGCAAAATGATGAATATTTTTCAAGATGGTTATTGCACCACCAACCAGTATCATTTGGTGATGACATGGTAATGATAAGGTGATTATATGTGATGGCGATCTGATGAATAGAATGCTGGGAATAGAATGGGTACTGGTAAGTTTTTTTTTAAGCATGCATATATATCTGGAAAATATGTATATGTTATATGTATATGTAGCTACCATAGAAGACAATCAACCAATACCAAGCAATCAATAACAGCGAACGTATGGGAATATGACGACTAAATAGTATTTAAGTATGTATTTGTATCACTTTAGATCCAAGTACCTTCCCCGAAAGTGTTAGGAGTATGATTTGCAGGGTTAGCGGTACCTTTTCAGGAGGTGTTTGGATCCATAGTATATATACGTATATATATATATATGTATGATATTAGTATATTAGGAGATAGCCAACCATATAATAGCCATGAAGATGTAGTGATTTCACCACTGACAACAAAAAAACATTTCTATGGTGTCTTTAATGCTGATATCATGGTAAACAGTTGGAGAATATTGGAGATACTTATGGGCGTGTTTGAACATGGTGTATAAAAAGGGGTATTTTTATTGTGGGATTCGACCAATCATACTGGAGATATTGTATGGGGAATAATGGGGTATCACCAGGCAATAATTAATACCCTCTGGTAATTTAACATAGCTATTGAAGATGACCATTTATAGTGGATTTCCCCATGAAAAATGGTGATTTTCCATAGCTATGTTAGTTTACCAGAGGGTATGTGGAAATGCCTTTCCAAAACCTGAAAAACATGTCCAGAGGGACAATGATGATCAACCGTTGGAGTTTGGCGAAGTTTCAGAGAAACTACGGGGGATAGTAGAAAAAATGTAGGTCGTTAACAGCAGTTTTAACTATTTAACATAACCCATAGGATCCATGTATGGTATATATGCTAACATTGGGGGTATATTAATGGTAAATGTTACGCCTTGATACCTCAGTCTAATGGGATTTAGACAGGACATTGATATTTCGGAAGTTTCGGTGCAAGGGAATCCATTTAACTATTATTAGTTTGGATATGTTGGGGATATGTTTTCGAACTGCATGATTGTTTATCCCCATTATTTCTTAGTGTGGCCATGGATTTTCTTGCAGTGGTTACATCCATATCTACTTCGCCCAAGGGCGAACTTCAATCACTGGATTGGTCATTTTATGGGGAAATCTACGGTACATTTTCCCATGGATTTTCCCTTCTGAAATATCGGTGTTTCCCTGTAAACATCTTAAACCATCCCAGTGATTCAAAAATGGGAGATGATCAAAAATGGATTTTAACATGGTTTAATCATTTCTTTCATCATCCCAGTGATTCAAACATCTTAACGCTCAATTTTCTCCACATGGCCAGCGCAGGTGCGAGGAGAAAGGCCGCAGAGCGGAACGCGATGGCGCCCTGCTGGAGCCACTTGGTGAAGATGGTGATTTCCCTCAACGGAACCGTGGTAAATTCCGTGGTAAATTCCGTGGTAAAGTGGAACATTATTGGTAGTTAACATTATGTTCCACTATGATTTAACATGATGTTCCACTATACTACAGTAATTGTTGACCACTTGGTAACACTGGTCAACAATGGTTAATCATTGGTTAATAGTGGAACATCATCTACTTAAATGGGCCTTTTTTTGGTAATGGTTTATAAATGATATTTACCCCAGGCCATACAAAAAGGATGTGGTAAACCCATGGTGTTTCACTCGTTCTGAAAATGATCTACATTCATGGAGGTTGTCCCACAATGGATCCTTCATTCTTCTAGTGGAATTGTCCTGGGCATTTACCAATGTTGGGATGATATTTGGTGCCTTTGGAGACTTATCATCAGTAAACTAACATTGGTTTTTGGAAAATCAACCATTTGTATCCATTTGTATTAGGTGATTTACCTATTACATAATCATACCGTTAAAAAAAACAACGCTGAATAGAATCAACCAAACACGTTCAATGCATGGATCATGGACATTGTCGAGGTAAATCATGTTACGACTTGGCCATATTGACTATGCTTATCATGGTCAGGCTTGTTGGCGATAATCCCTCGAGATGGAGTACTGGTTTGTGAATTACGTTAGATATGGTGAGATGTTCCACATATCTTCAACGGCATTGAGTCAGCTCGTTTCAAAGAACGACCCTGAAGGTGTATGTATATATATATACATACATGTGTTAAGATTGTGTAAAGTCATTAAAATACATTGCTGGTTGGTGGTTTCAAACATTTTATATTTTCCATACTATATGGGATAATCCTTCCCATTGACTATGATTTTTCAGAGGGATTGAAACCACCAACAAGATGGTATGTTTCCAGACCCAGAATTGGCTTTACGGAAGTTTATATAATTCGTTTAAGGTGAAACAGAAACCTTCTCTTATGGATTAGAAGGGGTCAAAACTTATGATTTTCCATGCGATGTCGGCGATACAAATGTATTGGATGTAGGCTAGAGGAATACACGGTGTCTTATCCATCATAGCCATATTTGATGGTGAAAGCCAGTCGCTGTTCTGTCCTTTTTCCCCAAACCAATTCATTAAATCCATTCATGATATGCCATGAACTCCAACTTGAGTAGCTAGCTGGGCCGGTACAGTATTGTTTTTGACGAGTTATGGGGATGTGATTTGATGTCCCGGACAAGAATGGGATGCCAAGCAGACTGTGAATTGTGCATATTATGATGGAGCAATGGCGAAACAGTAACCAAGGATGAGGAACCAATTTTTCTTGGGCTATGTCCAAGGATTGTTTTGAGATGCCCCAAACTGTTTCGATTCGTAGATGGCCAACGAGCCCTTGAAAGTGATTGTTGGTGGTTAAGAGTCGCCCTTAATAATTAATAAGCCTTCATTATTGGAATGTATTTTTTTGGGGGGGTAGAAGCGCCTCAGGTTTGTGTTCGCCGACCTCGACCGACGTGCAAGAGACACCCAGCATGTTTTACGGGTAGAGTCTGGCCGTTGTATTGAAAGTGGGGATTTAATGAGCGAGGAATGATGAACGATTTGTATAGATGAATATCCCTCCTGAATAATTATGGGATGCCAAAGAACTCCGTTTCCACCAAAACCGCTGGAGATGGGTTTTGTGCGGCACCTCATTTTCTGCCGACCCTTGAAGCCTTGGCTGCCCTGCAGCAAAAGAACTCTTTCCATCCTCTTCCCCATAAAAAATGATTCTTTTCACAAGTGTAAATCACCCGAAATCTGTTGGTAGCTATCCCTTACTGACAAGGGAACAACAAATCCCCAGGATCTCAATCAAACATCATCTATCAATGAGGATGTTCTTGAACTCTTCCATGGGGAAATCAACCCTAAATCAAACCCTAAATTGACACCCTAAAGAAACCCTAAATGAAACCCTAAATGAAACCCTAGATGAAAGCCTAAAGAAACCCATTTGAACGTTCAGAAATCCTGATAAGAAATCCCGATAAGAAACCCAGTAAAGAAACCCTAAATGAAACTCTAAAGAACCCTAAACCTAAAGAAACCATAAGAAACCCTAAATGAAACCTTAAATGAAACCGTAAATGAAAACCTAAAGAAACCCTAAATGAAGCCCTAAATGAACCCCTAAATGAACCCTAAATGAAACCTTAGATGAAACCCTAAATGAAAGCCTAAAGAACCCTCAAGAAACCCACATCAATGTTTAAAGTACCTAAATGTAGCAAATGCCATGCAAATGAGAGGTTGAAGTGCCAAAATGTAGCAAATACCATGCAAAATGGAAAGCGAACATGGCCAAATGTAGCAGATACCATGCAAAATGCAAAGTGACCATTCCAAAATGTAGCAAATGCCAAATGCCATGCAAAATGACAGGTTCCACTTCCAAACTGTTGCAAATACAAGGCAAATGGAACCAGGAAAAAAAGCAAAAAAAAAAACAAAACCTGAGGCAAAAACAAACACCAACTATTCTACTTTCAGTATTCGAGCACCCCGGATATACAGTATGGGTAGAGGGATCACCTTTTCCTTGTAGATTTCTGGTGGTTTCTCAAGATGATCCCATCCTCCAAGGCCTTCTTTCAAGCATCAGTGACGCTTGCAGCCTTCTTTGCCGATCAGTGACCCTAAAACGACGGCCAGTTTAACGGTTTAACGTCGTTTTGGGCGAGAGACAGAATTTTGGATGATGCAGAGCTGGAAGCTAAGACCATACAGTGAGTGCTTTAGTGACATGTCTATGTATAATTATGTACATATATGGGAACGATGTATATGATAAGTATATAGGTTATGATACAGTATGATAATAGTATGTTCGTATAATATCGTAATAGATCCTCCACGACTGGGGAGCTTACCAAACACCTCACTCAGCAGGTATTCGATGCATGAGGGAAGTGACTTCAAGTTAAAGGCTTTGGGGCTGTGGTGACATGTTGGGGTTGAGACGAAAACCTGTGATTTTTCTTATGTGGATGTGTCTGATAATTGTGTATTATGGGGATATGATAGGAATATACTGGGTAAGTATATATATATATATTACACAGTATTATACATATGGTAGGAGATAACCCAAACAACCAATAACCATTAAAATATTGTGATTCACCTCTTCTGATAACATGTACCTTAACTAAACTAACTATGTTTTTTGAGGGTGAGATATCATATCAAACCATTGCAGATATATTTATGGATGTGTCTCTCTACATTGTGTTAGTAATGAGTATATGGCCTGGGCTGTTCAACCAAGAATAGCGGATATATTACCCTCTGGTAAATTAACAGTTGGACCCTGAAAATAGCCTAGTTTTAATGGAAACTAATCTTCTAACCCCGATGACTGCCAGGGTCGAACTGTTAATTTACCAGAGGGTATATGGGAAATAATGGGGTATCACTAGCCAACACTATGACATCACTATGATTGTTTGGTGTGCCTGAAAATGAGTATACCCCCAACAGGCCACTTTGTAGGGAAAATGATGATTAACCATGACATATGGGGTACAGTACCCAACTTTCAGACCAACCATCTGTGCGACGGTCTGATGACAGGATTCCTATTATGGAACGGTCCGTACACCATATATATATACATATACCATGACACTGCTGTCAGACCAGCTTCCGGCTGAGGATTTTTCCGGAGAGTTGAACCATTCATTGAGTTGAGTCCAATGTGTCAAAAGAAGTGGAACAGGCCCTTTCAAACATGGGCCAAATTCACCAATTTCCAATGAAACTATATAAATTATATTCAATATTATGAATTTTCCTATATCATCAGTCATTCAATTTTAAATTTTATTTAATTTTATATGTGTGATGATTTTGTTTCGTCCCTAATTTGTGGAACCGCTATTTATTGCTCTTATCTCCATTTGTTGCTGACTTGAAAATAGCAGTATCCCAAAGTAGCTGGGAAGAATGTTCAAAACCATTCAATGAGGTGGTCATTTTTGGGATACCCCTATATCATTCATTTTAGGGTACTACAGGTACCCTCTGGTAATTTAACATAGCTATTGAAAATGTTGATTTATAGTGGATTTATCCATTGAACATGGTGATTTTCCATAGTTATGTTAGTTTACCAGAGGGTACCCAACTTTGATCCATACCGGTTTTTGCGTCACCCTGAGTTGACCACCGGAAAAAAAAACAGGTAACACGCTCAAAGTAGGTCAAAGTCAAAATTTATTGGCGTGTGCATACAACATTTTCATGGGAACATCATCATTTTTTTGGGGGTTCATGATCATGTGCAATTTTATTTATGTGTTAATATTCTGATCTATTAGAATCGATTGTATTTTTCGAAATATCTCTGTATAATAATCTATTGTATTGATCTATTGTTATTATGAATATTCAATAATATTCACCTGTGATGCAACATGGTTTTGGAATGTCTCCTTGGTCTCCCCTGCCCTGTTCGGTCGCCTTCACCTCCCCTTCGGGCCTTGCAGGTGGTGAAGGGGGCCCATTCCGTGCTGGTGGCCTTTCGAAGTTCGGACTATGCCGAGGCCCCACCTGGAAGAAAGTTCAGTTTTGGTCATGTTTCATGTGGATGTGTCCTAAAATGGGGGTACCACCAGTTTTCATCCATTTATAGATGGGGATTTTTCCATTATAAAACATCCAGCTAATGGGGATACCCCCATTTTTTGGAAACCCCCATGTGAATTTAGATGTTCTGCCAGTGAACATGATCTCAATATATTGATCTCGTTGTTTGTTTTGTGTTCATGTTTTCATATATTTCCCCAAGTCTGATGCGCTAACCAACGACCAGATACCCAAGAACCGGTTCGATAACATGGTTTATCTGGAAATCAGTTATGGATGAACCAGGTCAATATAGTTTGGAAAGGGTTTTTCTCTTCTTGGTTGGAGGGAGGTCGTTTGGGTCATTTTTGATATGGTTTTGAACTACGCTTAGTGGATTCTTTTCGTTAAATATAGTTAACTGTTCCATCAGTGATAAACAAACTGATTATATACAATCCCAAGTTGACACTTTCAACGTTTGAAGAAGGGAATAATAAAACATGATAAGACTCAGCATAAACCATCTGATGTTTCAGTTGTATTCCCATTTTGAGGGGGTTTCCATGGGTTTCCCCAAGTTTGACCCATCCTCTTCGCTGGAATCGTGGGTTTATGTGCAGGCTGTGAAACAAACAGCCTCTGCACTGGCGAAACTGTCCGGGGTCCCATTTTCTGGGTGAAATCTCAACTGTGTTGCCTATAGTCACTCCTGCGGCAGGGAGCGATTTGGAGTTTTGGGTATCCATATTCCCTTAACGGGGAGCCAAGGAGCTACTAAGAGTTTCCCAACCATATCATATCATATGAAATCTTGGTTTGTTGCATGTTCTGATTTAAACACATTCAATTTGTTGCTTGGTTACCTTTTTTCTGACATCTTCTTGGCGCACCAGCGAGGTGTGCCACCGGCTCGATGTCATCCGTGGCAGCTGCGGCCATCAAAGGTGCAGGGGACATCAGTCCTGAGGCCTGCTATACGGCGAGGATTGCGGTGGAAGATGACCCATGACGGATCCATGGTGCTGCTATATATGGTAACATGGATCCCATCAATATACCCCAAATGTTAGCATATATACCAGCACCATGGATCCTATGGGTGATGAATGATCGGATTATCCCCAATGCCGCCGTGAACTTTTCACGTTAGTGAATGATACGATGATCGTTCACCCAGATACCTGTGGGCTCCACTAAAGAAAGTGTCACTTGTGATAGCCGGTGAAACTAGAACCAGGAAAACATTGCACATTAACAGGGAGATGATGGGGATATGATGGACATATATATATGAATATGGGGAATATAATTGAGCTAATATATTTTTGAGCTGACGCTCATTGTCGGCTCCGCCGGATTACTCGACCCTCCATTTCATCGCAGTATGGGCTTGAAAGCTATTGAATGAGGACCTGCTTCAGAAATATATTCCTTAAGTTTTTTGGAACATATTTGTTGGACATAGACTGTTTTTTTTGGGAGCAAGTGAGTTCCCGAAAGCTCCTACGAAGGGTTTTTCCTAAAGAACTGCTGCCAATTTCAACTTGTTACTTCGTGTAAAGGCGCCTCTGTGCAAAGACTTCTCTGTGTAAAAGTTTCTGTGTGTAAAAGTTTCTCTGTGTAAAGATTTCTTTGTGTAAAAAAGTTGCTAAAACTCTGTTATTTACAGGGTTTCGTTCACGTCACTACTTCGATTTTTTCAAAAACACGTAAATACCAGCGTTTTTTGCGTTCATCAAGGCAAAAAATCGGTTCAACAAGTGCAAAAAATGCTGTAATTTACAGGATTTGGTACCGTCACGGGCAAAAAACTGTGTAAATACCAGCGTTTCAGCGTCCAAAAGTGGCCAAAACACCGCTCTTTACAGTGTTTCGTGCCTGCCACGTTTTCTAGAAAGTGCAAAAACACTGTAAATACTAGCATTTTTTGCGATCAACCCGCCAAAAATGCTGTAATTTTGGCTGCGTAATAGTAATTAACCCCCCTATATATATTTTTTTTAGGGGGGGTCAACCTTCCTATAATAATTTTTGGGAATCTATAGCTGGGATCATGATATGTATCTGATAGATTCTCCATGGTTTTGTTGGGTTCCTGATAGATTCTGAATAGAATAGATTTGGTTGGGTTTCTGAGAGATTGGCGAAGAGTTGGCAAGGCGGAAGTGGACATGGAAGTGGGGGCAGAGGTGGTGGAGGCGAAGGAGGAGGACGAGGAGGAGGAGGAGAAGAAGGAGAAGAAGGAGAAGGAGAAGGAGGAGGACAAAATTGGAGTTGCGGAAAAAAGTTTCCACTATTGCCATGCCTGGTGCAGGTTTGTTATTGCTATGCTGGGGCTTGCAAAGGGGGTACCCTTTGTGGACCTGTTTTCTTGCTTTTTTTCATAAGGGTTTTATAAGGAAATCAGCTGTTTGGTAATTGGATCAGATTTCTGGAATCTAAGCTTTTGCTAATTAAAAGTGAAGGCTGCTTTGAAAAGGATTTGCTTTACTTGACTCTTTTGGCAATTCTTAAAAGTAAATGGAGCTAATTGACTTTTAGTATTGGAGAGAAAATTGGAGTTGGGAAAAAAGTTTCCACTATTGCCATGTTGGGTCCACTATTGGCCATGCCCTCTGGACAAGGTCTGAACATGACTCTTTTGGCAATACTAAAAGTAAATAGAGCTAATAGACTTCTAGTATTGGAGAAAAATTGGAGTTGCGGAAAAATGTTTCTACTATTGACAAGATATCACTATTGGTCAGACAACATTAATTTACAGTATTGTTTTGCTTTGCTTTAAAAAAACATTAGTATTTGCAGTGTTTTGTGCATCTCTGGTTTAAAAAATAATGATATTTACAGCATTTTCTGCGGTTTTGCATTGCTCCCGCAACAGACGTTAAAACGCATAATGTAATTTACAGCATTTTGTTAATTTCGAAAAGCTAAAAATCGTCCGAAACATCATCTATCAAAACAGCATTTTTTTCCGATTTTAAGTGCCCTCAAAACGGGGGGGGAATGTTCTTGGAGACTCTTATGTGGGCGACCCGGATTCCGTCCAAAAAGCTTTCCCCGCAGCAGAGTGAAGGATTTTTGGTGTTTTTCGGGGCCCGGCGTCGGAGGGTCGGCGGCTTGGGGCGCGCCTCACCATAGAGCTCTATAGTCGCTCTGGGACGCTCGTGGGGCAAGCCACTCGTGGGGAGCCAGCAGAGCCGAATTTAAGGGCTGCCCCCCCTCCCGCCGACCCCGGAAAAGTTGTGAACTTCAAGCACGAGAGCTCGCTGCTTGTTGAGTGTCTCATCATGATATGTGGTTGGTGCATGCCTTCATTCCCTGATTAAGCTGCTCTGTCTGTTCATGGATATTTCGGTCTTGCCAGCTTCGGGTGAGATATCAGCCAACACAATATGCAGAAAAGATGGTACTGTGGTCATCTGAAAGTACGATAGTTTCATTCCAATGGATGATCATCATTTTCCATTTCCTCGGGTGACAAATGCCGCCATCAGTGGCATGACGGCCATTGGCGGCTTGCTGCTGGACAGATCGCTGCCTGGCAGGGTCATTTGGTCATCCTGGGCTGGAAATTCCTTATTTGGGTATGGGTCAAAATTGACATGTTATATAGTACATGTTAATTCCTTGTTACGTTGAATCTTGTTGGAAGAGACAATCTTGATTGAACAAATGCATAAATTTTGGGCGTTGTGTTTGTTTTTTGGTGTGTTTGTATGTGTTTTTGTGTTTGTATGCGTGTTGTTGCGTCTGTATGTGTGTCGATTTCCGTCTGCTGGAGGGAGGTGTGGGGGAATGAGGTGGGAAGGGAAGGAGTATAGTCTCCAAAAAAAGGGAGCAGAGCCCTGAACAGGGGGCCTGAAACCTTTCCAAAAAGACCAAAACGACGTGACCAGCACGGCTACATGGCTACAAAATACGCCGAAAACAGACACGGCAGCCCAAAACATAGCTCCCAGACAGGGAAACACCATGCCAGTGAAGGACACGGAGAAGCCACAAAGAAGCGCCGAAAAACTCCCTAACGTGTCTTCTGAATCCCATAAATGAAGGACTTGAATCGCTCAAAAAGTTCAATCTATTCACTCACTTGCTTCGCCTTCTGCAATCTCTCCAAAATAAAGGACTTGGAACGCTCAAACACAGTGGCAGTGAAGCACGGATAAGCCTCTAAAGGAAGCCGAAAAATTCCCTAACGCGGCTTCTGAATCCCATAAATGAAGGACGCAGAAGCATCGAAAGTGCTTAACGTAACTTCTGAAAACCATAGAAAAAATGATGATTTTGGCTACTTTTCTTCCTGCTGCTGCTGCTGCTGCTGCTCAAGAGACACCTCCCGGATGGGAAAACACCACGGAAGTGAAAGACGGAGACGCATCAAAATTGCGCCCAGAAAGTGACTAATGTAACTGGGTACTGGCTGCTGGCTGTTGGCTGCTGGCTGCTGGCTGCTGCTGCTTCTTCTGGTGTAGTTCTTGTCGTTGTTGTCCTTGTTATCATTGTTGCCGTTGTTGTGATCGTTGTTGCTGTTATAGAGGGTAACATCTTTTTCCCTGGCGCCATCCGCCTTGCTGCCAGCCAGGGTCGGCGGATATAATATATATATATATATATATATTTGTTTATTTATATATATATACACATATTTATGTTATTTATACTATTTATATTATTAATATTCAACTGACACTATCTTTATTGTATTGGTGATGTACATTAACTGAAGGAAGTTTAGAAGTCAAACTTCCGACAATATGGGCAGATGAAAAGCAGAGATGGGAAGAGTCCGAGAAGAGAAGAGAAGAAGAAAGAAGATCGCAAAAGAGAAAGCCTCAGAAGAAAGAAGATCCAGGTGCGCGACAAGGTAGGAAAGTCGCGAAACACTGTGTTTTTCCAATGGTTTGTGGCTCCGGAGGGTCGAAAAGTAGGCTCGCTAAAGCGGCGGGTGCGGAGCCAGCTGGGCAGATGAGAGATGAAAAATTGCACGCCGTTGTGGCGCGAAGCACATTTCGAAGTCAACATGTACAAAGCACACCATGCTCGGACCACTTTTGGAAGTTGAGATGTTGAAAAAGTGCACGCCGTTGTGGCGCGAAGCACATTTGCAAGTGAAAAAGCTAAAAGCACCTCACGTTCGGAGCACTTTTTGAAATTTTTTGAAGTTGAGATGTCGAAAAAGTGCACGGCGTTTTGGTGCGAAGCACAATTCGAAGTCAACATGTACAAAGCACACCATGTCCGGACATGTTCGGACCACTCTTGGAAGTTGAGATGTCAAAAAAGTGCATGCCGTTGTGGCGCGAAGCACGTTTCGAAGTCAAAATGTTAAAAGCGCCAGGGGTTCGGACCACTTTTGGAGGTTCAGATGTCGTTTCGCGTGGCAGGCACAAGGGATTGTGCACCTTGTCACAAGTGAGCAAAACGTGAGGGTTTTGTGACATTTTCAACTACAACCACCACTACATCACACTACGCTCCAATACGCTACACTACAGCTACAACTACACCTTCACTACATTCATTCCACTACACTACACTACACTCCACTACACCCCACTACACTACTACACTAAATTACACTCATTTACACTCCTACACTAAATTACACTCATTTACACTCAACTACGCTCCACTCCACTCCACTACACTACATTCCACTACACTACATTACACTACACTCCACTACACTACATCACACTACACTACACTACATTTCACTACACTACATTACACTACACTCCACTACAACTACACTACACTACATTCCGCTACACTACACTCCACTACACTCCACTACACTGCACTCAATTACATTACATTCAATTACACTACATTATACACTACACTACATTCCACTACACTCCACTACACTACACTACATTACACTACACTACACTACACTACATTCCACTACACTACAACTACAACTACAACTAAAACTACAACTACAACTACAACTACAACAATACTACATTTACACTACGCTACACTACACTAAACTCTACTACACTACACTACACTACACTAGACTTCACTAACTACAACTACAACTACAACTACAACTACAATACATTACATTACATAACACTACAAACACAACTACAACTACAACTACAACTACAACTACAACTACACTACACTAATTGCATTACACCACACTGCACTACACTACACAACACACTACACAACACACTACACAACACACTACACAACATACTACACAACACACTACACTACAGTACACTAATTGCATTACACACACTACGCTTCACTACACTACACCACACTACACCACACCACACCACACCACACTACACCCAATCACACTACACTACACTACCCTACCCCACATCGCAATACATTCCATTACACTACACTCATTACACCACCACAAATGCAACTGCAACTACACTACACTAATTACGCTACACCACAACTACAGCTCCACTACACTACAACTACAACTACAGCTGCACTACACCACACTACATCCAGCAGTTGTGTGTGAGGTGGCCGGCCAGGTGACCACTGCAACCATTGCAGCCGCTCCAAAAAAACACAGCTCCAACCACCTTTCGGTCCATCAGTGGATTCGCTCTGCCATCCGTGATTCACAACAACCAATCTCCCCTATAGGTGTCCTATTTTTGAAAATTCCGCCACCGCCTTGTGCGGTACTACTGGTAGTCACTTAAGTGCAAGTAAGACTATTGCATTGGTGGTTTTGGACATGAGGCCTTAAACAACAACAACTTTATATGGACATGTTAAAGGTCTCTAATGGGAATATGGGATGATATGGGAAAATGGTTCGATGGAAAATGGCCAACAATATGATTTTGATGCTTGTCAACGTGAGAGATACAATTTATCATAATGTATTGCAATGTCAATCTCGGAAATGATGACAGCGCATTGCATTTTGGTGGACCAACGCGGGTCAAATGGGCCAGCACCATCCAGATGGTCAATCTTGCCTGGGACTGTATTGTTCAGGAGGCTTGAAAACCCAACCAGTGGCTTGTTCAGGACCAGAAGTATGAGGGTGATGATGGTTGAGTGTTTGAACGGTCGAATGGTTGATTGATTGATTGTTTGATTGGTTGGTTGGTTGATTGGCTGGTCGGTTGACTGGTTAGGTAGTTGGTTGATATGATTTCTGGTTCTTGAACGGATCCCATGTCAGGCCGAAGAGCTACTGGTTGGCGTGCGACAAGATGCAGAGGTGGCTACCAGATTAACTGCAGTTTTGCAGTTTGAATGGAAAACAAAAAAATCGTAAACGTCACCAAATCTCCAGGTTCAGTAGCTTCAAGATTATGACCTACACTTCAAGATTATGACCTACACTATAATGGTTGCACATGGTGGATAGATAATGTTAGATATGTTTATGTTGTTATGTTTGTTGTTGCGTTTCCATGGCATGTCTGAAACCCACTAGACAGCCACATAGTATTGGGGCTGGATGGTTGAAGCAACAATACCCACAGTTGGGGCAAACACACAAAAAAAAAAACGAGTTTTAGTCTGGGAACTGTTAAGAATTGTAGAGTCTAGAATCAGACCGTAATACCCTCCAGTAAACTAATAGTTTGCGAACCGGAACATGACCATTGGACCATGTTTAAGATAGGTAAATCATGGTAAATCATCAAACGAAACGGTCGTTCTCAATAGCAATCTGCACTGGTCGGATGCCGCTGGAGCAGGTCCTAAAAGCACGGCCTGCGCGGCCTGAGTGTGACCGGCCTGTCTTTGATCACACCACTTTGTGCTGCGCAAAACGAAGCATTACAGGAGGAAGGTAGGAAAGGTTGTTGATTAATGTTGATTAATGTTGATTACTGTTGATTAATGTTGATTAATGTTGATTAATGTTGATTAATGCTGATTAATGTTGATTAATGTTGATTAATGTTGATTAATGTTGATTAATGTTGATTAATGTTGATTAATGTTGATTAATGTTGATTAATGTTGATTAATGTTGATTAATGTTGATTCATGTTGATTCATGTTGATTCATGTTGATTCATGTTGATTCATGTTGATTCATGTTGATTCATGTTGATTCATGTTGATTCATGTTGATTAATGTTGATTAATGTTGATTAATGTTGATTCATGTTGATTCATGTTGATCCATGTTGATTCATGTTGATCCATGTTGATTCATGTTGATCCATGTTGATTCATGTTGATCCATGTTGATCCATGTTGATTCATGTTGATTCATGTTGATTCATGTTGATTCATGTTGATTCATGTTGATTCATGTTGATTCATGTTGATTCATGTTGATTCATGTTGATTAATGTTGATTAATGTTGATTAATGTTGATTAATGTTGATTAATGTTGATTAATGTTGATTAATGTTGATTAATGTTGATTAATGTTGATTAATGTTGATTAATGTTGATTAATGTTGATTAATGTTGATTCATGTTGATTCATGTTGTTGATTAATGTTGATTAATGTTGATTAATGTTGATTAATGTTGATTAATGTTAATTAATGTTGATTAATGTTGATTAATGTTGATTAATGTTGATTAATGTTGATTAATGTTGATTCATGTTGATTCATGTTGATTCATGTTGATTCATGTTGATTCATGTTGATTCATGTTGATTCATGTTGATTCATGTTGATTCATGTTGATTAATGTTGATTAATGTTGATTAATGTTGATTCATGTTGATTCATGTTGATCCATGTTGATTCATGTTGATCCATGTTGATTCATGTTGATCCATGTTGATTCATGTTGATCCATGTTGATCCATGTTGATTCATGTTGATTCATGTTGATTCATGTTGATTCATGTTGATTCATGTTGATTCATGTTGATTCATGTTGATTCATGTTGATTCATGTTGATTAATGTTGATTAATGTTGATTAATGTTGATTAATGTTGATTAATGTTGATTAATGTTGATTCATGTTGATTAATGTTGATTCATGTTGATTCATGTTGATTCATGTTGATTCATGTTGATTCATGTTGATTCATGTTGATTCATGTTGATTCATGTTGATTCATGTTGATTAATGTTGATTAATGTTGATTAATGTTGATTAATGTTGATTAATGTTGATTAATGTTGATTAATGTTGATTAATGTTGATTAATGTTGATTCATGTTGATTCATGCTGATTAATGTTGATTAATGTTGATTAATGTTGATTAATGTTGATTAATGTTGATTAATGTTAATTAATGTTGATTAATGTTGATTAATGTTGATTAATGTTGATTAATGTTGATTAATGTTGATTCATGTTGATTCATGTTGATTCATGTTGATT